ACTATACTTCTTTAATAATTATTTTACGAAGATTACTAACTAAAATTATCATTATCATTAAATCCTAGCTTATACAAAATAGTATATACAAAATCGCAATAACGTCGTAGCTATTCTACGACTTTTGCTCGTAGCAGCGATAAAATCGCCTACGCAAACCGACGGGAACGTTCTTAGATGTTAAAAACAAGTATGAAACAGATATCAAAAGTATATGTCCCTAGAATAAACGACTTTGTTTTTAACTATTGTTGAACAGAACATCGAATAACTTGTCTCAACTAGTATTATAAATCTTATATTCATTTTTATCCCGACGGTTTTGTAAGTGGGTGTTATTTGCAACAAACATACAAAAATAAGTAAGTAATAAGCTAGTAAACGTAATGTAAATATTTCGTGAGTAAATGATACCTCAAAGACATTTTTATCAAAATGCACTTCCTTATTTTTTTTACAAATTTGCCTACCTTTAATCGACGGAGGAAAGGATGCACAGAGAGAAAATATTTTCCCTTTTCATGCATCCTCTCATGCGGAAAGTCCACTTCCATTTCCCATTCTTTCCTTATAAGAAAAAGGGTGGGAAGGGAAAGGGAACTAAATTAGGCCTCCGGGACGCACACTCATCAGACGAAACGCGGAATTGCTCCCACTTCACGCTTGTCTTCTGTGTGGTCGTGGTATTTCTCCGGGCGAGCCGGCCCATTCGTGCGAAGATGTTAAAGCGGGCTCTACCACTGTTCTTGTATATTAAAACTGAACAACGAAGCACTCAATTATATTTTGGTTTCATACAAGGAGTAAGATTCCCTTGATGAGATCGCAAAATTGTGAAGTGGTATTTTTTTTTAATAATTGTGATTCAAATCAACCTAGTATAATAAGTCTTTTATAGCACTAAATATACTACTTAACGTAACAAAAACTCATAAATTAGACTTACGTATCCAGCAGCGAAGCGCGTTTATTTGCACATTAACCGTTGGAAATGAAAAATGTCATAATTAAGAAGTTAGTCATTAAATTGGGTACTGCTCGCATTATCTTGATTCTTAATAACGTGTAATAAAAGAAAAACAATTAATTATAATGGTTAATTAAACTAAAACAAGGTTTGCGGTTGTTGAAAATTATTTATAATCTACGTTTTAAATCTCATATATAAAATTGTCGTGTCACAATTTTCGTTCCCATACTCCTCCGAAACGGCTTGACCGATTCTCATGAAATTTTGTGAGCATATTAAGTAGGTCTGAGAATCGGCTAACATCTATTTTTATAATAATCCCGCGCGGACGGAGTCGCGGGCGACAGCTAGTCTAATATAAACTTGAATAGAATTCTTTCATTTATCTTACAAATAGATATATCTTAAGATACCTAATTACAGTATAGCTAATAAATGCATAACTGAAAATTATTTTCTTTTGTAACTCGAGTTAAATTAATATTTGGCATAATCGAAATGATTAGTTATGTATTTCTCTTAATAAAAAAAAAATAAGTGACGACGAAATGCCAGGATAACTTTGTAATATATTGTACAGTACAAAAATAGCCCAATAGTAATTTACAACAGTATTTTTCTACTAATCTAATTTGTTGACGTTTAAGAATAATAAATGTCGTTTAAAGAATTGTAACCTACGTTAACTACTTTTATTCCATTCTTAAAAGAAAAGAAGATGTAGGATATCATAATCTATAAAGAATTTTAAAAGTGTTTACTTTTTCAGATTTAACAAAATGTTGTATTTAAAAGGTTAGGAGAGCGTGATGTTTTTCTTTGTCGTGTTGTTAATACCTTAGTAATTGTAACAAGCGGAACGAAAGCGCCTCTTTTGTGAAATGCGAGAATGAAAGTTAAACATAAGCGGGCAACAGCAGTAAGAATACTTTGTTTGTTTCGAGTATAAACATGATAAAGCGTAGGCCGCGATAGGACACCAATTAAGTGGGTGTACGACACCCTTCGCCGTAAATAATTTTTATAAATAATAGTACTGAAGGCGAAAGCTTTCAAATAACGTATAATTAAAGTCAATTATTTATTAAAGTACATGTACCCCTAACCCACCCCCGTATCGCACGTGTACTGGCTAATCCTATATTGTTTTCTTTAGTAATTATCTTTGCTCATCAACCAATGTAACAATTTAATTTTAGTATACTCAACCGATTGTCGAATGGACCAGCTTGACATGTGAAATGCGTGTCTCTTTTGTCTTTTTATCTCGATCACATTTAGAATCCTCCAAGAATGCGAACAAAAGAATGCTTTTTATAAATCTCATTTGGAATGTATGCATTATTAAAAGCCAAGTTATAACACTATAACTATATTACTTTTATGTATACCGTCACTTATAGAAGTATTACCAGCAAAGTTGAAATGTTGTCGATAAATTTTAAAATTTATGTAATTTTATCTGTTTGTTCCGGCAAGTTAAAAACAAGCTGCAGGTACGTTATAAAGTGGCAATTCCACTAACAAGTTGCACGATTTATTTTCGTATATGGTTGACGATGCAGTGACCGCGATATGATGTAACAAGCACTTAAATTTTCTTACTCTTCTAAGAGATTGCAAGATCAATATAGTATTAACACCTGCTATACTATCTAATATGTATATTAAAAAAATAAGATTTTTAATTTCCTTAACAAATGAAAATCAACTTGATTGTGTAACTTTTTGATTGCACATATGTCCTTAAACATTGCTGTATTGATCGAATCGTGATGAAACTTATGTAAAATGTTATTGTTATATGTCCGATTTGCGCATTTAATAAAATTCATTAAATACCTTATTGTTATTATAGTTAGTTATTTTGACTCCAGGTAGTAAATTTTTAGTATTATCAAATTCATATACATTTATTTATCATATTTCTAATATAATACCTATTAGTATTATCAATATTAATAGGTTAAGAAATATCGTTTGAATCCGTCTTTAATGTCAAGGGAACGTTTTCTATTTGCGTAACTGGTCCGCAAACTTTATTTCGGTTACGGCGCTCTCGTCTCCCGGTCTTTAAGATGTTAAACTAACATTTGGGTCATTAATAAACTCCTGATACCTCTTAATTCTGATTGAATGGTAAATGTCAACGCAGTCTAGTTTACATAATAAATTCTAATTGAAGCTGAAGAATTAGAAAAAAAAATAGCAATTATAACAAAAGTTACTCAACCTTAACTTTGCTAATTACAAATAAGAACACGTATTTTCTTTAAAACATATTTACCACAAGAAGTTTTTATATATTTGAAGATTTATATATAATGAATAGTTATTCAACCTATATTCATTGTGATAATAACATTAAAAGTTCTAGAGACAGGTTGTAACCGAAATTGGACCCAACATAATAATACTGAGCCTGTTTACGAATGCACAAGTGGTCTCGGGCTCTACGGAATAGATATAGAGTACAGAGAGCGCGCGCAACCGCCGCGAGCAACACTTTCCCCGGCAGTGCTAAAAATAGACGCTCGCAATAGAGTAGCCGACCGCCTCACTTCACCGAACGGGGCTAACTTAAAGAAACCGTTCCACGCATTCTCCTACACCACCTTGATATATTGCTACAACTTGCATCTGATGTCGTGGGATTTAAATTTACGGCAAATGTTGTGCTAAGTAAAAGCTTTGTTTTCTTCCATAATGCAGACGTCTGAGGTTTTAAATAAATCTTTTTGTATTTTTATCGCTACTGTTTTAGATTTCAAAACTTTTACTATTAAAATATTCGCATACAACATTGTCTTTTTGCGTGTTTAGTGAATAGTTTACTGCGATGGTTTGGAATCCAAACTTCAGATACTTAAAGGAAGTCACACTGTATGTCGCACACGACGGGTTCGGTTCCCACGGCACAACCATCCATAGACTACGCGTTTCAAGGGTTGGCGTAATATTGTAAATATATCAAGTAGCACTTACCAACACGATGCCCCGGTCGCTGTCTGCCTGGTCACTCTGTAGATATCGGTCTAGTCAATGAAGTCACTGTCAAATAGTCTAAAAGCGCCGGCAACGCTATCCCTATACGCTAGGAAACCGACGCGACCGATGTGTAACTTCTTCGGTCCAAATTCCGTCGATTCCCGAAGCTGACACTTGACTGTCGCCTCTCTGCCTTCCCCGCACTAGCCCCCGCCGGCCCCACGCCCGACCGTAGTGATTTCTAACTACCCGCTTTTTCAGAATAATAAAAATTAAATCGAACTACCTTCGTAATACAGTGTATATCAAACCGCGAAATTCAAAACTATAGTTATTGAAGATGACGAAGTATAGTGCATCTGTATCGAGTACAATGCCTTAAAGACTCTTTAAAAAAATAACAGAATTGATTTCAACATCATCTGTTGGTTCTATTTAACAGATCTGTTCAATACACTTTAGTGGGATTAGTTAAGTGAGTATTCAAGGAACTTGTTAACTTGCAACTGTTCGAGAAAGTTCTTGTGTAGAACAATTATCCAGTAAAGTGAATGGAAGTTGTATTAATACAAGCGACTTAGGATGTACTTTATTAAAGACCTTAACATACAAGTATATCTTCAATATTGTCCATTACCGTAATTGAATAGAAAGAGGTAGAGAAATCTGTAATTATACGAAATAACCTCTAATAAAAGTTTATTTGCACGAACGTAATAAACGGTGAGTTTTCAGTCTATTGTTCTGCAAACGATACTTAATTGCCTGTATGTAATTTACATTGCTACATATTGTTCTGGGTTTATTCAGCAACCTTAAGAATTTAAAGGACGATTTATAATTCTGCTTATCTTCGAAATTCGAACATAGAAGAATACAAATTCATTTAATTTTTAAAAAAAATTACATCACAACGTAAATTTGTGTAGCTTTTTGAGTCAGTATGCGTATCTATTTCGACATCTACACGGGTGGAACACGTGTGCAGTGACATGTTGAGCTGTAACCATTGTGTGTAATACAAGATATGATTGTCCCGCAGAGTGTCCGCCGGCGGCGGATGGTATGGAGCGGTTCGCCTGCCCGACGCCCGACCGACAGGGCCGCTACCGCTGCATCGACGACCACGTGCTGTGCGACGGCTTCATTGACTGCCCCAATGGCGAGGACGAGGACCGTCAGGCCTGCATGTTTTATAAAACGGTAATGTTATATACAATTACACAACTAAATCCAAATGAGCTTATTTTCAAGATTTGGTCATTGAACCAGTATTATTGGCACTTCAAAATTTAATTTTTACTTCTTATAGTATCAGACTAATGTTATAAATGCAAATGTTAATATGGATGGATGGATGTTTGTGTGAAGGTATCTCCGAAACGGTTCATTAGATCACGATAAAATTTTGCATAAATGTAGAAAATAGTCTGGAAGAACACATAGGCTATTTATTAAGTTTTTTTTTAATTCCGTGCGAACAGAGTCGCGGGTGACATCTAGTTTTTTTAATAATAGACAACTTACTTGTACGACTAATGTAATTTCATAGAAAGATAAAAGTTCTTTATTTATTGTAGCAGAAAAAACATACTGTTACAAATAATAAAGTATCGGAAAGGTTTAAATAAGCAATTCCATTAGTGATCGTAAATAAAATTACTTGAGTTTGTTTATTTCAACTGTTAGTATATGAAACATACCAATATTGACGTCATATTTGTTATTTAACTGTAACAAAATATTAATTTAATACAACGTACCATAAGTCTGAATGTGTGGTAACTAACAAAATGTTTCTTTTGTTTTCAGACAAAAGCTCATCTAGACGTGTTGGCAGATGCGCTCCTGCGATGGGCGCGCGGCCGCTAAACAATCCATCCCTCCGACAACATTCCCTAGTGTTACCGAACCGACAGTACTGCACGAACCCAAACAGACTGACATAAATACAATCAACCGACATGTGCGAGAGTTCAGTGGAAGCTGCGAATACACAAGATAACATTCGGGCGCAACCAGACGTGGGACTTGATGCCTTCAATAAAAAACATATCAGAAGTGGTGCAGTCTATGCCAAAACATGAGCACTCAAAGTGTGTAAGAAATCAGACTGCGAACAGAAAGGGTGACTTCGTACGCCTGAGGTTTGATGAGCACACTAAGTAATTCTGGTTCGTCCCAATATCCTATCTACGTGCAGCTTATTTATTTCCCTTCTAATTATTAAATTTATTAATGTAAAACAATTTAAGACTGTAATTTAATGGATAAATGTTTAGTATAAAATGTTCTTAATTTCACAGACAGATTGTAATATTTATTTATTGTACATTCTCTTGTTATTTTATTTTAATTTTATATTCATTACATTCCTTATATTTATGAGGGTTGTAAAGTAAATAGGAGATCTGTGTACATAAGTAAACCAAACGATTTTACTGAATTGATTTTAATGTTCGGCCTATATGTAACTGGTGACTTGGGTTTCCCCAATCGGGTAAGGTTCGAATGTTACCTAACAATGGTCTTCATTATGGCAGCTATTTATAACCGTTAATTCCTTGTAAATCATTCCGTAGATATTTTTATTTAGTAATATTTTATATTAATATGGTAACACAATTATGTCGACTGAACAAGATCGAAGATATATCATTTGCCGAAGAAGTCTGAACTGTTATCGATTCTAGTCATGAATCAGTTCCTATTGTATAGTTTAACTACATTAGATTTTTTTACATAATATATTCATTGTTTTACATTTTTTACTCGCATATAAAACAAGCACATCACTATTTTGAGGTACCTAAATGTACAGCTGTTTTATTTTTATATTTAACAAATCGGTTTTTTTAGTCTTGCTTTTTTTATTTACAAATGTGTCATTAATTTAATAAACATATTCTCATAAAGTTTAAAAATTACACGAAAATAATAACAAGTCACTATTGTTCACATCCTAAGAATTTTAGATTTTAGGTGTAAATCAATTATTAATATAAATTACTAATTATATTGGATTTAAGATTTATTATAATGTTGATAAATATAAATTTTATGACATAGTAACTTATTTTAAAATGTCTTGAAAGTTTTTTAAGCTTATTTTAGAAGTTAGTCGCGTGTGATGTATGTAAATATTAATTCGATTTATTCCTATTGTATAATTGTTTTTATTGCACAAAAAAAATACAAAAAAAATTGGTGTATGTAAAAAAAATATGCACATTTAAATGTGTAGTGATCTAGGTAAAAAAAACTTTGGTGTCTGTAGTGCACAAAATTTATATAAGCGAAGCTATAAGATTAGTAAAGTAAAAGTTACTTCAAACGATCCGCAGAGGTTAGAATAGAAGTGCTATTCTGTTTGGCTTATAATAAATAATGCGGCGGCGGCCATCTTCCAACAACGGCACCCTGAAAAAAATATTGTAAATGTAACATATTTTAACATAGGATGTGAACATAGTGTAATTGAAGATGATAAATCCGAATAAGATTAAGGAGGCGCATCAAAGCATACTTTAATTTTTGTTCAAATTAATATTACTCTATGACCTTTAGCATATTTTACCTATCCGAGAAAGTCATATCTGCGACAGATATCCTTTATTCTTGGGGTGTCGAGCGCATTACGCAAAATGTTTAATCCAATCGTCATCATGTTTTGGATTAGTTATTTATACACCATTTTCAATTCAATTCTGCTAAACACGAGAGTCATGAACTAAATTTTGTTATACGAAGATAAATAAAATTAAAATAAATTTTGTTAATTGCAGACTTAAAATTAAATAAAATACCCTTAAAGTCTGTGAGGACATCATAGTCCGACAAAATTATCTGACCCTGTAAGAGAGGCGCTTCTGTTACGGTTAGTTCTGTAAGAATAAGAAGATATTGTTATCTCTTTTCTTCAAATAATGAGAATGGTGAATGTTGTTAGAAGTTAGTATGCAAATTACGATCAAGGAACTCACCGCGACCGCTGTCATCTACCAAGGATCTTGTGACACTTTTTGACATTGACAGGAATCGCCCTATGGACTGTTATCCCTTAGTTATAATAGCTTATAAGGTCAGATAAGTTTGTCGCACTATATTGTTCTTGAGCCATCAGACTTCGTGGTACTTATATTTATATTTTGGTCTTCTAGTAAGTAAAAAATTTGCTTTGATGTGAATCTTATCGTTGATTTATCTGTACGTACCAATAAGTATCATATTAAACTATTGATAATTGTAAATACTCAAAAAGTTTATTTCGAATGTCCGCGATCGTGACCGAACTTGATTATGAATGAGATTTAGTTCTTAGAAAGAAGTAAACTGATTTGCCGGCCGGTACAGTGAAATATTACGACCTCATAGAAGACAGGCGGAAGTATTCCACGTTGTGCCTTTTATATGGAGTACCGGTGGCCTGATACTAATCCTTTTCCCTTATCCCAGCCTTTTCTAAATATTAAAGATTCCTAACCATTACTATTTGGAAAGAAAATGTCTTTTTCCTTCAGATGTATGGTAGAATTATCACTGTCATGTTTTAGTTGTCAGGTGACAGCTTTACGTTCTTCTACTATTAAAAAAAGTTTGATTGCCCGATCTTTTAGTATTTCCATAAGGTCGCGATCGCAGCATTTGAATTATACAACTAAAAATATATATGTTTATTATAGTGACACGTTTGTAAATACCAAATTTAGTTTTCTTTTACTGCCTATTTAGTTTTTTCTTTATTATTTTTTATCATAACAAAAAAGTTTTGCAACCCTCAAATAATAAAAAAAATATAACAATTCATCTTGAAAAACTTGTTAAGCAATTATATTCATTTAAGAAACAATTAAATGGATACTAACCTAGGTACCTCAGCATTTATTTAACTCACTAGATACTATATCTCTAAACTTTTTTTATTCTTATAAAAATTCAGAAAATTTTATTCGATCTTTCGGCGAACTTACATTCATAAATATTCGTGGTTTTAAATAGAATGTAATTAAATCTATAATTTCTTAAATGTATTTTATTTCTTAGTACTTAATAGTATTGCTAAAAATATATTAACGTAATTGCACTCAAAATTTGCCTGTTTCGTATGTGCACAGCAATTTATTGTGATATTTTAAATATTATAGGATAAGATGCAAATCATGATCTCGTATATAGTCTATGTACCTATCTATGTGATTATTATCTTATTTACATACTTGTAAATCTATACGGGTCTGTATAAGATGCGGGCTAAATGTTTTTCTAGTTAAACCATGCCGAAAGGCAACAATTGTTTGTCAATTCAGTCTTTCCTTTTCATTTAGTTATGTACATTTTATTTATAAGCTACTATTTATTTACATATGTACACATAATTTGTAAACAGTTAGCAATTCTCTGTCAATTTTTTGTACATAGAGAAATAAAATACCATTGATGTTTAACGTCTATTTGAAATGTTAAATGTTGACGCAGTTTTCATTGTACTCGTTGTAGGATCAAGAGAGTTGCAATCAACATCGACTCCATCCCAGCACCTCGCTGCCCGCCGGAGCTGCACTGACACCCGCTACTGGCTAGCTCGTTAGTCGCACCTGCCTTGACTCTTACCCATTCATCCACCTTTCAGCTAAACGTGTACCTAACTAACGCGCAAAGCTAAACCGTCTCCTAACATTACTTGGTACACCCACCTCTTCACCGAGGTCAATTAATATGCTCACATATTCTTCCGAAGCGATTTTAAATTACATTTAGGTGGACAGATGCTATTACAAATCACTGTAACTTTACCATTCGTCTGCCTAAAGTGGTTTATCTTTGCGCTCAATTGAAATGAACGACTTCGACTTATTTATTGTTGAGGGCTAATTAAAAATATTTTTAGATGTCACACTTGTAGTTGTTACTCTTTATACCTATGACTCAGTTAAATAGAATTTATAAAAGGAAATGTTTTCATAGAAACGATGTCTATAAATTTGTAAGCCGTTTTCCACTGACGCGATGTTACATAGCTTCAGATGATTTCATAATAATATTATTTGAAAATGCAACTATTTTTGTAGATACTTATATCTGTTTCACTACCACTAGATAGAGATTTACATTATATTTCCACAGAATGTTATGTTTGCCAAAACGGACAAACAATAAAGTATAGACTACCGCACAAAGAATCGTTATCGTTATCTCCCTATGAGGATTGAAAACATTTTTCATATTAATGTTTACAACGCAAACAAAAACACATTACTACGAGGTTCGGGTTCGAGGGTCCTAAGTTTTCCCTAATACTCGATTGGATAGTCGTCATTGCGTCGCTTAGGAATAACCATCAACAATGGAAAGTAACACAGCACTATACAGCATACAGACAGAACGGCGTCTTGTTAATTCTATGACACCTAACAATTTTCATTCTACCTGAGAAAATTCCTATTCCTTCAACAGTGTCATAGATGAGTTGCCTTTACATTTCGTAGAACATGTGTACGCAACTCACTTGGCGATAATCTTATAACGACTACGCTATTTTGTAGGCGTAATATACTTTTGGACTATTTATTATGTATTGTTAATTACTATATATGTTGTATTAAGATAAATAATTAAAATAAATGTTAATAAATGCCTCAGCCAGACGACAACTATTATTTTATTATACCAATCGCTTGAAATAATAGCTACTAACAGACCGTTAAATTTGCAGCCAAGGCATACTCGAAGCATACACATAATCTAATTAAAATTATAAGCAGTAAACATTCTGATCGCAAAAATTCTACTAATCCGACCTACATTTACGCAATGTTAAGCGAGTCCACGACCAACCAGACAAGACTTTAACGGCAGAGAAGAACTGAGTAGGAAAAAATCTATTTATTAAGATATTCTATCCATAACAAAGTCTTTTCAACATAGAATTTTAACAAACTTCCTGATCTAATGTCCTAAAGGCTGGAGAAATGGCGGGGTAAAATGCGCACAAGGAGTTTGTCAACATGGTTTGGAGACGGTTACAGTACATTAATAAATATGCTTATCACTAAATACATAAAATCACACCATTCATAAATAAAAGTAGCATAATGTAACGTCCTTGATTATAACTAGAAAAAACTAAGAGACGAATTCCAGTTCCCCTAACCCCTTAACTATCGTAATTTCATAACTTAGCTCGTTATAGTATTAATCTAATCTGAATCTGGCTTCGGAACGTCGACGAGTTAATGTGGCAGTTGGATCTTCTGTCTCAACTCGACAACGCCACTGCGTAACCTGGGGGAGCTATAGCCGATTAAAAAACCATATATACTATATTATTGAATAAACAATAAAGAAATAAGTAACAATTACAGAAAAAAACATGAATTAGAAAACTACAGGGAGTTATAAAAAATAAACCATAATTTTTATTGTATAACTATAAACATTCGTGGTTTTTACTATAATAACATTAATTGTTAATATTTAAATTTTTTTACTACATACAAAGCTTTCATAGCATAGTTAAAGGTATAATTTAATGATAGCAACTAATAAAAATGAAAACTAACACCGCTGACCTCTACAGATATGGACCGGGCGCTGCTTGGAAATGACAGCTTTTGTTTTATTGCGACTTAAAAGCTATCTTTATTGTTAAAGTGTGTATATTTAAGGATGATTACTTTGACAACCAACGCCTATGATGTATCGAATTAATTTTGTATAAGTATATATGTTTTTATTAATAGCCGTTTGTCTATTGACGGACCGTACACGCATAGCGACCAACTATGAACTACCAAACATCGGTCTTGTAATTAAATTCATCGAACGAACGTACCGTAATTTAGGTGTTTTATTACTTTTTGAATTTATTACAGTTATTTGGCTACGTATCGTACAATTAACTCAAAGACACGAAATAACCAGCTAATATCAAATAACAAACATAAACATTGTAGACTTAGAGCCGGCTTTAAATAGACACATTATAGTTCGAATCCTCACCGTCACCATCCGATCCCGCATTTTGCGGCAAAATGATAAAAATCTAATAGGCACAAAATACTACGCCTCGTAGCCTGTCCATGCATGGTGAATCAATAACACTGACAGTGACATCTCTCTTCTCTGTCTCACAGAATTGTCAGTGTCAGATGCCGCAACTCGACGTTATAGCGTCTGCGTCTGACATGCCTTTGTTTTTATTTATTGATTTATTGCCGCTCAGTCTTAGTTAATGCAGTAAAGTTTGGTTTGATGCTCACTAATTTTCACGATGTCAGCTCGTGATCCCCGAAACTTAGATTCTATGACATCTAATGATAATATTTCCACAAATTCGACGGACGAAGGATTGCCTCGAGACTTCAGTCAAATAAGTCTTATAAGCACATCGAAACCAGATGAATTTTATAGCAATGGCCATTCCGAACTTGCTTTAAAAAATTTATATGGATATTATCGATCACAGACGCTTTGTGACGTAGTACTGATTGCCGAAGGTTGCAGGTGAGTCCCATTCACATCCTTTGTTTTGTTCGGCTTATAATTCCTTTGTTTGTTCACAAAGAAAAAGTAATGAAACAAAATCTATTCCTACTATTAGCAATTCATTTTTAAGTTATTAGTTAATATTTTAAATTGTACCTTACCAGATTAGGCAAATCTTATAATTTTATACCCATATTTAGGGTAAAGTTAAACTGCTTTTTCATTTGATTACCATGCTGTACTGGTTGTACAAATATATGCTATTTTGTAATGGTGACAATTTTGGATGTTTCACATTCTATAATTCAAGTTCCCACTTATTTTTATAACAGGGTTCCTGCACATAAAGTAGTATTATCATCATGCAGCGAGTATTTTGCAGCAATGTTTACAGGCTCTTTGAAAGAAGCAAAGCAAAATGAAATTGTATTGGAAAGAGTTGACTCAACAGCTCTCAAATCATTGGTGCATTATTGCTACACTGGTATAATAGGTTAATATTTTCTTTTATCAAGCATATTTGGTTTTGTTATGCTAGAGCTTGCGTTCACAATACATTTTTATTTGCAGAGCTAAAGGAGGAATCAGTTGAGATGTTACTGGCAACATCAAGTTTATTACAGCTAGATGCTGTTACAAAAGCTTGCTGCACTTTCTTGATGAACCAGCTTGATCCTTGTAATTCTTTAGGGATTGCTTTGTTTGCTGAACAACAATCTTGCCTCACTTTACACAAAAGTGCTTTGGAGTACACTTATCAACATTTCATGGAGGTCAATAATTAAAGAATTTATTTTAACTTAGAATAAGCTGTAGCATTGTATAATTAATTAAGAATGTAACTTAATTATTTGTAAGTAGCACACATTTCAGGTGATTGTGAGAGATTTTTGATATAAATTGCTTGTCTATGGTGATTAGAATATAAGATTATTTTACTATAGCACAAATCTATTGCTTTAGCCATAAGAATAATTATTACAGCACAAAGAATAGTATGAATATTATGTTCAGTAGTTTTAATTGATGTAGGAACTCCTTTTATCTTTTTGTGTTATTAAAAATGTAGATATATAGCGCAATATTTATGTAAAAAATAAATTTCAGGTAATGAAGCAGCCAGAATTTCTATCTTTACATGTAGATCAGTTAGCCAACTTGCTCAAATCAGATGAACTTAATGTAATCTCGGAAGAGGATGTGTGTGATTGTGTTTTAACGTGGGTACACCATGATAAAGAAAACAGGGAAAAATATTTACCAACTTTATTAAAACTTGTTAAATTACCCTTACTATCATCGGAGGTATGTATTGCTCACTTCAGTATTACCAATATGTAGATTTCCGCCGTTAAGTATATTTATTTAATTTATTTAGAATTGCCAATTAAATATGTTATATACTATTATATATATGTAGTACATAAGTTACATCTTAGTTAGTAAACTAAAATATATTTCAATTACAGGCAAACAAAACATTAATGTAAATAAAGTACTAGAGAAAAAAGTTTCATAAGTTATTTATCAACTTTAATTGTTTAATACTAAAGATTTTTCCTCCAATTGAAGTCAAATAATGTACCAAATGCCAATATTTTGTTTTAACAATTTAAATTTTGTAATGTTGTTAAATTTTCAGTATTTAATTGACAAAGTGGAGCAGACTTGTGGTAAAATAAAAGAGTGTCAACCATTAATCATGGAAGCAGTGAAGTGGCATCTACTGCCGGAAAGACGAGGTTCACTTGCATCTTATAGAACAAGACCAAGGACTTCTACGATTGGTCGACTCTTGGCTATCGGTGGAATGGATGGTAACAAGGTAATTATTTCTATTGAAATGCAATAGTTTTTTTAAATATTATTTTAATTCAGAAAGAAACTTAGAAATGTGTGAATAAAAGCTTAGTAAAACATTGTATTTACGATATAATTTTATAAAATTAAGAATATTTTGTAGTACTCAAATATTTAGAATGTTAGTAATTTTAGCGATATGTATTGAGGTGTTTTCAAAGTTTAGATCTGATAAGTACCAATAAGCATATTCGAAATTTTCTAATATATAGCTAATAGATAATTTACACTTTTTTAAATAGGGTGCAAGTAATATGGAAATCTATGACCCTCGGACTAATACTTGGAGTCCATACATGAGAATGGGCACTAGACGATTACAATTTGGAGTTGCAATCCTCCCACGCAGGCTGATCATTGTGGGTGGCAGGGATGGCTTGAAGACATTGAATACTGTAAGTTGACAGTATAAATATAGATATAGAATTTCCATAAACAATTTTTTTTTCTATTTCTTTTGTATCATTGTATAATATTATTTTTGTTGCCAATTACATCTTTGTGATATAAATCAACAATGTTTTCGCCTTAGCTAAAATTCTCTTTTTAAATCTAATTTGTCTCGGTTCATATTAATTTTAATTAATACAAAACAGTTGTTGATTTATTCGTTATTACAAACAGACATTCCAATTTTATTATTATGTAGCTACTCACTGTGGGTTTCCCAGTCCATATTTCTATATTCTTCATACAAAAATGTCGGTCTCAGAAGCCAACGGTTAGTTGTACATAGATTGTGTATACAGGTGGATTCTTTCGACATTTCGACGTTGAGCTGGAGCACGCTGGCGCCGATGAACACGCACCGGCACGGGCTGGGCGTGGCCGTGCTGGGCGAAGGGCCCAATGCCCCCGTCTACGCGGTCGGCGGACACGACGGCTGGATATATCTCAACTCCGTTGAAAGGTAATGCTTGATTTACATTATTCCAGTACAGAAGGACAGTAGCGCTCAAAATCATCGCAGGCATACAACTGGCATAATGTAAACTGGCGCCACTGAGCCCATAGCAATCCAACTTATGTTTTGTCCAAATTGTGTTTACAATACGAAATTTCATGGAGAATCGTAGCCTTTCTAGAGATGCCTTCTAACAAACTTTGACATATCCATCTATTTAAATATTCTCGTTTATATATACACAAATCCGTCAATGCAAAATAAAAAAAGAAATAATTTTTAGCCTACGTGTTCTTACAGATTATACATGTATGCCAAATTTTAGAAAGATCCATGCAGTCGTTCTGGTTTTATCCGTCCATTTAAATATTCGCGATGTGTATAGATGGGACTGTATAACGCGGTCGTGGACAATGGTGGCGCCGATGGCGGGTGCGCGCAGCACGTGCGGCGTGGCGGTGCTGGGCGGGAGGCTGTACGCGGCGGGGGGACGCGACGGCGGCGCCTGTCTGCGCTCGCTCGAGTGCTACGACCCCGCCACCAACCACTGGCACAACTGCGCGCCCATGACGCGTCGTCGCTGCGGACTCAGTGTACCTACCTACTTTACTTTCAAACTAGCGCTCGCCGGCGACGCCCACGCAACAAAACCTTTAACACGCCCGTGTTCATCAGCTACCATCGCCTCTAAGTCTCGTCAAAATCGGTCCAATCGCGAACGCGACCTTGACAGACAGAGAGATTAAAACTTTTCAAAATTATTTTCTTTCCCAGTATCACAAATATATCACGTATATACATTTTTTTGTATATTACATGCAAACACTCCAATTTTATTAATATGTATAGACACCTAGCCCTTTAGTAATGAGACATTAGATGAGATTAAGTCATTTAAACATGATGGCAATATTAAATTAGCGACGGTAGTACAAGTTCCGTAGATCTACCGAAGTTTACAAAATTAGGTATCTCTGTTTATTAGTATGTCCTGTGTTAGATGTGCGCTGCGGGCGGGTACCTGTACGCGCTGGGCGGGCACGAGGCGCCGGCCAACACTGTGGGAGGGCGACTGGCCTGTGTGGAGCGCTACGACCCCACCACCGACACGTGGACCTTGCTGGCGCGACTCTCCTACGCGCGAGACGCCATCGGCTCATGTCTTCTCGGTGACAAGATCGTCGCCGTCGGTATGTACCACCTTACACAAGGCAACTTAAATCTTCGAAATTCGTACTAAGCGCGAGTCTCCGATATTTCTATCAGTTATCACCAAACCAATTATCGACGCATCTCAGCATGTTTACAAATCTATGAAAATGTATGCGATCCGATGATTTTCAGACGGTGGCGACGAGTGTGTTAATTTCTAGCTTTGTAATAAACTATGTCTTCAAAAAAGTCAAACACTGTCGGCACACAGATAGGTGTAAAGTAGAAAAAGGCCTAATTTTAGTCCACGTTTCAGTCCTCGTTTCTTTCCCATCCTTTACTTATAAGGAAAGGATAGGGAAGGGAAGATTTTCTTTCTGTGCGTGTTCTCCGTCCGTCGATTAAAGGCAGACAACGTGTTTCAAGCAGTGGTCACTTCACCATTTCGACGAATTCAGTAATGATCGTTTTCCACCTTATAATATAAAGTATAATACTTTCTATTCTCCATCAGGTGGGTACGATGGTGCGCAGTACTTAAATTTAGTGGAAATTTACGACGCGGAGAACAACACTTGGCGTAATCTGGCTCCATTATCAATAGGTCGTGCGGGCGCCGCTGTTGTCGCCATACCGCCGACCAACAAAATCCTTTGATACGGATTGTTTCGTCTGAATCGTTTGTATTTTGAAAGACAAAGAAACACAGATTAAAAATAACTGATTTACTCTTCATTATTATATCTGAATAAACAATGTATTGTACGGAACGTAAGAAGGTATCATTGGTTTAGTTTATTGCACGCAAAGGATCACAAAAAGATAAATAATTCACTTGTGCTATTTGTACTTAAAGGTTTTATGTTTCTATTATGTTGAGCGTAACATTTTTTTTTAAATAATATGCTTTTGAATATTATATGATCTTTATAGTTAATGAAAATCCAAAAAAATTGCGAATAAATAAAACGATTGGAATATCGTTTGTAACGTAGAAGAGTGAAGTAGAAATAAATTGTAAGTTTTAATTTCTTTTTTTAATAAAAAAGTCATTTTTCTTTTTCGCATGGCAGCATTTTTAGTTTACTTTCTTAATAAAAATTTATTAAACTTTTGACTTTACATTAGATAATTAAAAAAAGACTTTTACTTGTGATCGCTAACGACTAGATTTATCATCCAAAAAGTATAAAAGACGTGTAACTAACATATTACAAAACTTTTATAAGTTCCTCATTTATTAAATTTGTTTAACCTAAAATTAAGCTTAGATCATTTACCGTTGGTTTCTGACACCAAAATCTGTGTATAAAACTTCGTCTTTGACAAAACAGAGTTAACAATATGTTTTAAACAAGCTTCAAGAAGCGAGCACACAATTTCCTTTAAGGCCGGCGACGCATCTGCAGTTCCTCTGGTGTTGCAGATGTCCATGGGTATCGTTGATCACCTCGGTGTTCACGCCCCTCGTTTGCCCCCTTCTCTTATATAAAAAAACAGATATTTTGGTCTCAGAAACCCACGGTTGGTATTAAAGTTTCTCTATTTAGATCCACCAACCTATAAGTATGGTGCTTAATATTAATTATTTACTGTGATCATATAAACCTTAAATCAAACATATTTTTGTTAAAAAAATCATAAACCGATATTTATTATAAGTGTATATTCAATTGTATTTGTGCTGCCTTACTGTGTGTTTCGATTGTTGTGATACTTGTATTGAAACATGTCAAGTTTCACTATATTCAAAACCCACAGATACAATCAAACTATTGTATAGCTTACCCGCGACTACTCTGTGCCAAATTTTATACAGATACATTTCGCCATTTTGTATTCACCTGCTAACAAACATCCATACATCTAAACTGTCCCATTTATAATATTAGTAAGATTATAGTTGACATGTGCTTCTTTCGGTTTATATAAGTAAATTAAAATCACCCATTTTCATGAGATAAGTTCATGAACTAACTTAAGTAACTTACCGTGGGTTTCCGAGACAAAAACCTCTGTTTAAAATCTTTCTTTTGTCTAAGATAATAACGGGGATTACGGTAGGTTTTATACTGAGATTTTGGTATCAAAAACCCACAGTTAATAAGCTCAATAGATCGATTCTAGATGATCTCATAATGTGCTCCTTGACATCCGTCAACTTGCTATCTCCGAAAGTGCGATCGTAGGAGGCTGGCAAATCCGAATTTAACTTTCTGATTTTTCGACCGCATTTTTTCGATGTTTGTGATTTCATACAGTATATTTTAACTGCAGATATTTTTTCATTGTCAAATACTTGTATGAAAACATTTTATTCCTCTCATTTTGCTTACATATGAATAATTATTACGGTTAAAAATAAGAAAACGTAACATCTCCAACATAACCAACTCTGCTATATTTTTATACGTTATTCGCATTTAAATATCATAATGCATTTATATTTTACTATTCATTTCGATTATAGTGATATTGTCTATTGACGAATTGAAAAAAATGATCTCAAATTTTTTTGTCGAAAAAATTTTTACTTACATCATTCATTTTGAATCTGAAAATAATTCCAATCGCAAGTATTAATAGCATTTAATTATTATTAATAATGTGTTTATGTATAATAACATGTAATCAATGTATGTATTTTATTTTTTATATAATTTTTATCATATATTTACACTAAAGAACTTTTTTCCGCTAAAGTACATTTAACAAAAACTTACTCGGATATTAAATTAAGTATTACAATATGCAATGAATGTGGATGGTCCCTAAATTATATTTATGTTATTTTTTCAAACCCGAACGAATTTAAAATGCGTCGCAATATTTTTTTTATTGTTGCATCTCTCATGTACAGTATAAAAGCAGTATGGGACATGAAACAAATTTAATCAATATACCAGGTCGGATTGATTTAATTAAATATTTTCAGTATTATTAATGTTAATTTTAAACAATTTTTACAATATATGTTTGAGGACCGTGTGATGACAGAGTAAGAAAAAAAAAGCGGGATTTAATTATAAGTATAAAATTAAATTACTGTTTTTTTAAGCCATTTATGTAACATCACAATGAAAAGCTTTGAGTATATTATAAGGGTTCGTCCATTAAACAACGTTTAAAATGAGATGTCACATGTATTTCTTTTTTCTTACAGAGTTCGAAAATTATATTGATAATAATCTAACTAATTTAAACACATTGCATTTATTTTGAAAATGTCATTATTGGGGGACTATAATGGGTTCAAAAGATATAAAAAGTCACGTGATTATTGGACGAATCCTAAGTGCTTTTATAGTTGTAATTCTTAAAGCAGTATATCGGTGTATCAAATAAAGAGATTAAAATTTATATTACTTTTATTTCCCTTATTTATATTTTCTTCCTTTTATTTTGTTTATCTTCGTACTTTTTTCATTGAATTTGTTATAACTATTTTATGACTCGATGAAAGAGATAATACTTTAGGGCATCTATTAAAAATGGCCCAATTAAGAATTTAGGATAATATACATAGCTCATTTTTAAAATCTTAAAAAGAGGGAAAAAGATCGTGTAAATTGTAATTAATAAAAAATTCCCAAAAGCAATTTTTTTGTAGATTTGAGGCAACACCAGGATAATCATCTGAAATGCTGGCAACATTGATTCGAGTGTCGTCTTTTCATTTTCATAGATTCCATTTCTGCTTTTTGTGCCGTAAATATTAATTTATTGTGTGAAAATATAATTATAATCACAAAATAATTTACAATAAAAATGGCTCTTCACGTTCCCAAAGCACCCGGAGTACCCCAAATGCTAAAAGATGGAGCTCGGGTAAGTTAAATTCATAACCAAAAACTATAGGCGAGTCATGTGTGTGCTAATGCCGACAATCCAGCATGATTTTATTTTTGCAAAAAAAATCATATATACCAAACATAAATAGTTTGAATAATAGTCCAAATAGTTGACGATACAATAAATATTAATTAAGACAAAAAATTAAATGCATATTCGTTAAAGAAAATTATTCATAATGAATTCGTGAATCTCGTTAGTTACAAATTTCTTTATTGCTACTTTTCAGATGTTAACAGGCTTAGATGAAGCTGTGTTTAGTAATATAAACGCATGTAAGCAATTTGCACAAAGTGTTCGTTCAGCTTACGGACCTAATGGCATGAATAAAATGATTATCAATCATATTGAGAAACAGTTTGTTACAAGTGATGCCGGAACTATAATCAGAGAGCTCGACGTTGAGCATCCAGCTGCAAAATTAATGGTCCTTGCGAGTCAAATGCAAGACTCTGAAGTTGGTGATGGTACCAACTTTGTCATTGTTTTCTGTGGAGCGTTATTGGAAGCGGCAGAAGAGCTCTTAACTTTAGGGCTGAAACCCAGTGAAATCGCAGATGGGTACGAAAGAGCTCTTGATAAATGCATTGAATTGTTGCCAGGATTGGTTTGCCATGAAATAAAGGACTATAAGAATGTTGATGCTGTTGTGGCTGGAATCAAACCAGCAATTATGTCAAAACAATATGGCAATGAAGACTTTATCGCCCAACTTGTAGCAAAGGCGTGTATTGCTATTCTACCGGAAAAAACAACTTTCAATGTTGACAATGTTCGCATTTGTAAGGTATGTTAATTATTAATTTGAAGAATAACTAAAATGTAACAAGCAGTAATATACATTTCAAACTAACTTTTCTATTTAGATATTGGGAGCTGGCCTTCAACAGTCTGAAGTTCTTTCTGGGATGGTATTCAAACGTGAGGTAGAAGGAGATGTAACTTCAGCCACCAAAGCCAAAGTAGCAGTCTACTCATGTCCCGTAGATGTTACGCAGACAGAGACCAAGGGCACAGTGCTTATTAAGACAGCAGATGAACTTCTCAACTTTAGTCGTGGAGAGGAATCACTTCTAGAGAAACAGATAAAGGAAATTGCAGATGCTGGAATTAAGGTTGTTGTAGCTGGTGCTAAATTTGGTGACATGGCTCTACATTTCCTGAACAAATATGGAGTGATGGCAGTTCGACTAAATTCTAAATTTGACTTGCGCCGTTTAGCAAAGACAGTCAATGCTACTGTAAGTTACATATACCTTGATAGTAATTTTCTTTTTTACAATATTTATAAATAAACGGAAGTATGCATTTTACATTTTGTGCCTCTTAACTATGGAAAGAAAAATTTAATTCTCAAGAAATATATGAGACATTTTTTTTCAGGTTCTTCCAAGATTGACTACTCCAACAGCAGAAGAACAAGGTTATTGTGACTCAGTGCGAGTAGATGAAGTGGGAGACACCAGAGTTGTAGCATTTGTAATGGAGGCTTCAGAGTCAAGAATTTCAACAGTTGTTATTCGCGGTTCCACCGACAATTATATGGATGACATTGAGAGAGCAATTGATGATGGTGTCAACACTTTCAAAGCTATTGCTAGAGATGGAAGGTAAGATTAATCCATATTTAAAGTAACTTGTATAATATTTTTACCATATATTCAAATTATTTTCTTTGTATTCAGATTTTTACCTGGAGCTGGTGCAACAGAGATAGAGTTGGCGCAGAAACTCCTCCAATATGCTGATACACTACCAGGCCTTGAACAGTATGCAATCAGGAAGGTTGCAGTTGCGTTAGAAAGTATTCCCAGGGCATTAGCTGACAATTCTGGAGCTAATGCAACTGAAGTTATTAACAACTTGTATAAGGCACATAAGGTATTTGTTCTTTTTATATCTATATAACTTTGTAAAAGGCTTTTGCAACCATGTCTAAAAATGTACCTAATGTTTGTCCTAATATCATGCCACTATGATTTTTTATATTAAAGTCAACTAACCAAGCAAAACATTGGCAATTGAATTTGTTAAACACAAGAATTTTTATTGCATTTATTACTATTTCCTTATTATTGTTTGTTCTTAGGTTTATTATTAGTCACAATCTTACTAATATAATAAATGCAAATGTTTGCATGGATGAATGTTTGTTTGAAGGTATCTCCGAAACAGTTGAACGGATCTAGCTAAAATTTGGTATACATGTAGAACATAGTCTGGAAGAACAACTAATCTTAATACAAACTTTATTTTCTTATTCATCATTAACAAATTGATTTTGAATATTACCTTTCAGGATGGTAAACAAACCTATGGATATGACATTGAATCAGACAGTGGTGAAGTTTGTGATGCAAAAATAAAAGGAGTATTAGATGCATTCCTACTTAAGCACTGGGGTATCAAGTATGCGGTTGGCGTGGCTACCACAATTTTGAAAGTAAATCAAATTATTATGGCGAAGAGAGCTGGTGGACCCAAACCTAAACAGCCAGCAGGCAGTGATGATGAATCTTAAATTTAGTTTCACAGCATTTATTTACTGACACACATAGTAATTAATTTGTCACTGAGAGACTTGCTAAAGATTTCGTAAAAACAAATCTACAGCAGAACTATTAGATGGCTCTAGGTGTGTTGTAAGAGCTTAATGTATTTTCTTTTCTTTAAACACATTGTTTAATGTAACTTTTAACCTTATTATATGTTAATTTAAACAGCTTTGCTTTAATTGAATTTAATATTATGTTCTCTAGCTTAACTTTGGTTCACGTCTTAAGACCTTTAATAAATAGTTAACAACAAGTGTAAAGTGTATTTCTTTCTCAAACTAAAGAAACCTAAATTTGAAGCAGTGCTAGTGCTGTCTATAGACCAACAAGTGTTTAAAGCGGTGGTCATAATCAAACTAAATTATAACAGCTCACTAGCGCCCCCCTGTCAACATCAAAAAATGTCACAAGATTCTTCTACTGTAGCTGACATGTTTTTTTCTGCTGTCTGCGTCTTCCACGGCATTTTCTATGTCCATGTGGCTTTTGTATATTTTCTGATAGGACCAACGGCTCAGATATCCTTGTGGAAAGTCCTTCTTTTGAAATTTTCATACAATATTAATAATACAATTTTAACATGATATCTATCTCACATAATTTTTTATTAATAATCATTTAGCAAATACACACTTAGTTGTAAATGCATATTTTTTAATTACAAAGTTCTAAAATAACAGGCTTGTATAATGCATAAAAAGAATGACCAATGATTTTATTAACTGAAGAAAAATACATGCTGTCAACCTGTTGTCAAATAGCGAAGGGAATTTTATCGTTGCAGATTTAAATTAAACAATTATTCTTATATATATTATTAATTTACATTTAGCGAATAATAATAAATAATGTCGTCCTACAAAGTAAGTTGCCTTTTTTTATCAAATATGATTTAACCTCTTTGGACATTTATGATAATTGGAACACTTTATATATGTTTTATAAGCAATCCAGTGCAAGCCTAATGTGTATGTTGTTGTTTGTAGCCCATTGACTCTAAAAGAGAGGAGTTTAGGCGGTATTTAGAAAGAGCTGGGGTTATGGACGCATTGACGAAAGTACTGGTCAGCTTGTACGAAGAACCAGATAAACCAGAAGATGCCTTAGAATATGTTCGTAAACATCTAGGTACTGACGGTGGAGAAGATGAATTAGAAGCAGCCAGGGCTCGAATCGCTGAATTGGAAGCGGAAAATGCACTTTTGAAAGGTGAAACAGCCCCAGCGGAAGGCTAAAGTAAAAATAACCATTGCCAATTGTACAAATGATCTCAGGCACAATAGATGATCTCAAAAACATAATTGTTGATCCTTTAAAGATATAAAGCAAATATTGTGTGCACACAAAGACTATTTCGTTATAATTTAGATATGTTTTAAGTTTGAGTGCAGAAGAGCACATTAAATTTTTGTTCTTTTACATGTCGTTTCATTTCAACTTTGAGTCATACTTGAAGAGATGTCAGCATTAAGTAGCATTCTTGTATGAAAAGTTGCTTCTAAACAATAATTTATATAAATTGTGTAGATCTCAATAACCTGTCACCAGTAAGTAATAAAAAAATTAACCTACTACTACTAAAATTCTCAAAGTATCATCTATCTATTCACTGCACTGCCAAGCAGCCAGCACTATAATAAATTTAATATGAACTTGCTAGGAGCCTGCAGCACTAAATGAAAGAAGTGTATTTTTATTTACGTCACCAAAAACAAAAATGCATGCTAAAAATGTAAGGTTAGTAAAGAAAAACAGTAGGTGAAGTATTAAAAACAAAAATGGACTGTAACATATCATTTAATTTAATCGTTTACTAATCCATCATTTGATTGATTGCATATCATCTAGATGATTTTATTGCATTTTTTTTAAGCGGCAGCACTGATGATCTCTGTGTACTTCTTAACTTTGCTGGCAACACTCATGTCTACATATTTGTCTCCAATAGATACAATCATTCCACCAATCAGGGCAGGATCAACTTTTGCTGTGAGTTGGATTGTCTCATTACCTTTCAGGAATTTCTGTAATTAAAAAGTTACTGTGGATTATGTCATTGTAAGTTTTATAAGTTTCAATATGTAAGTTATGCATCAAAATACAGTACCCTAATATAAAGCTAATATACTAAAAATAAAGTGAAATAGAGGAACATCAAATACTATTTATGGCAGCTATTGAATCTTTTACTTCGTAAGCATTAAAACAAATAACATTTTATGAATAAAAGCTAGTGTAATTTAAGTAGTAACATTAAAATAAGTAATATTAAGTAGTTATTTAGTTTTTCTTTCCATAAATTAATTGGGAACAAATATTTTTTAATCAATATCCAATAAGAAGTGCAGCAGACTTTTCAAGTATTGTGTATTCTTTATCCAAAAACATTTTGTATATTAATCTTACTTCATTACTTAAGAAAATAAAAATAAATTCCTATTCCACCATTTAGACAAATACTTGATCTCCTTATGGGAGAACAACAGCAGAGGATTAGAAATATGACAAGCCTACAATCATATAATACTTGTAACCTAGAAATCGAATAAAACCTGAGCCGGCACCATGGACTTTACCAACCATAAGCACTATATAATGGAAATTTATATTTTATGAAATTAAAGTTGTAAGGTGTAGATATTTCTATGAAATCGAAAATTACTTTGAAAAAGTACCTTCAAAGCAGCTTCCAAGCTTTGGGTTTGAGCTTGATCTAAAGGTTTTGCGGTGATTACTTCGCAAGTTACTTCACCTCTGTGACCAGCCATCATGATCTTGAAGGCATTGATAACAGCATCTAATTTGCCAAGTCGACCATTTTCAGCCATAAGGCCCAACAAATTGCTAGTAGTGGCTGAGAGGTTGATCTAAAAACAAGACTTTTCATGTAAAAAATTCATACCTGCAATATTTTTACATTTAAATTTTAACTTTGTAAGTTACCAACCTTTGATGAAACATGTTTTAAGGCATCCACTTTCAAACTTCTCTTCAAAGTAGGATTGATGATAAATTCTTTCAGTTTAGCATCAGCCTTGATAGACTGCTGGAACTGGCGCAACTCTTTTTCCACAACATCTAAGCTCTTGGATTTGGAAGCCGCAGAATATAAAGCAGTAGCATATCTGCCTTCCAAGCCGAACACTTGAACGGAAGGTTTGATGAGTTGAGATGCGGCAGATGTGCTCAGCGACCGCACCTGAGGGCAATATTACGTAATAACTTTTTTTATATTACATGTTAAATTTAAATAGTATATTTGAAAGGAAGATAAATAATTACAAGCATATTTGTCTTGATCAGAGACATATTAAGTATCGTAGTTTATTCTACTATTCCTTAAATTTTACACGATTTTGGATCAATGTCTGACTCTGACAGATACAGCCACAGATAACAGATAGACGAACAGACAAACTGTCAGCTGTTATCAGGTACACAGATCATACATGTGCACAAAATGAAACCTAAGCAATAACAATTAAAAATTGTTTTATTATTAGGAAAAGATAAAGTGAATCATTATAAAGTGCATCTTCCGGCCTCAATGTAAAATAGTATTTCGACCATATCTAAATTAGTTAAGGCAATAAATCAGATTCTTGTGCAACAGTAAAGAATAGTAAAACTTTCCTTGTACTAGAAAACGGAACACAGATAACATATCCATGCTTCCCTTCATTTTCCCCATCTTTGAGATTTTTTTATGTCAATTGTCATGTCAATGGTGATGGTGTAAATGTCTGATGTCTATGTGAGCCACGCCACAGAGAATCTTGTGAAAATACTTATGTAGTTTTAATATCTTTAACTTGAATTAATTTACTTGAAAACAGTTAAACTTCTAATTTCTATATTAGAATTGAGTTTAAAATTTGAAAATGGCTTCAAATGAGGGCCGAAGTGTACAGTCAAACTTGCATCAGCAAGACCTAACCAAACTTGTAAGCTGGAAATTGTTATTTTGAGAACTAAATGCTAGATGTATAATACTATATAACCCATTTAATTATATTAAGACTTACTTTTATTGAAATTATTACTAAACCAAAACATACTTTATACATTACGGTTTTGTTTCTTGGCGATATTCAATTACAAGAGTATCTTCTTACTTTCCAGGATGTTACAAAGTTATCAGCTTTATCACCTGAAGTAATATCAAGACAAGCCACCATCAACATTGGTACTATCGGTCATGTAGCTCATGGAAAATCAACAGTGGTAAAGGCCATATCAGGCGTCCAAACTGTCAGATTCAAAAACGAGCTTGAACGAAATATCACTATTAAATTGGGTAAGTTCTTCCTTTAATTTAAAACAACATATAAAAATGTTTAGCATTGCTATTTTGGTATTATTCATTGTCAGTAAAATTGCTCAAAAATTGTGTTATGATTAGCAGTACACATGTTGATGAGAATAGATTCCACGGTTTTTATTTTCCCAATAAATTTAAAACTATTTTTGATTACTTTCTAAAAAGGAAAACAAAAGTTAAAGAAAAGAATATGTGAGAGACTACTATGATGATGATGTTGATATGTGATTGTATCCAACAATTTATAATTTTGTTAGCATTTCTGAGACTGTTTATGTACATATGTTCAGAATATCCTATGTCACTCTATCCATAATGCCCTTTTTTTTATTTGCACAATTCACCTTTTCTGGGCATCATGGCATAACATTTTCTTATAACTTATGTACTAATAACAAATCTGTATATCCATGAAAAATCTAAGATGTATGTGTTAACCTCATTTAGGTTTCCATTATGATACTTATATGAAACCTTTTAGTCATCATTCCAGTCTCCGAAAACAATAATAGAATAATTTATTTTATAGAGTTGTTTCAGAAGTGGAAAATCATGGTTAGATTTAATAATGCTCATGCGCTTTGTGTATAAACAGATCTTTGCAATATACCATGTGAATAGAATCTGAATTATTTAGAATAACTTTTAATATTGCTACTTTATTATTTAAAAGAAAATTAGAACAATTATTAATTAAATCACATGGTATGTTGCAGAGCGCCTGTCGGAATCTTATATAAGAGTGTACCGTGACATGGCTGAGGAAAAGAGAGAAAATTTATTTTACGAAAGAAAAAGAAGATCCCGGAAAAGAGTGATGTCACCAGAACCTGAAATGTTACCTCCATCAAAGAAACAGAAGAAGAGTAAACAGAAAAAAGATGAATTTATTATTGAGAAAATAATTGGTTTCAAATTTGAGTCCGGAAATGAGTATTTTCATATCAAATGGAAGGGGTGGCCTGATAGTGAAAATACATGGGAACCAATTGACCACTTGGATAACTGCCCAGCAATATTAAAGAGTTTTTTACTGCAAAAGGAGCTCAGATATTGTGAAAATATTGAAAAACTAAAGAAAGAATTATCATTTGATAATTTATTAAGCGAAGAAAACCTGCTGAAAAGGATAGATGAGGTTGAAGATGATTCAGTATCAAACTTGAAACAGAGTTTAACAATTAAATTACTAGCTATGATATTACTACAGGAACATGAGGAATGTCATGCCACAGAGTTGGTTCAGAATAGTCGAAACTTATTACAACTGTATGTAGCAGCAAGAAAACGATGTCGTCAAATGATGGCACTTCAAGAATGGGAGGAGCATTTAAATCAAGTCGATGATTGCAAGAGGTTAAGCGTAGAAAATAATGTAGACTTTGCTGGCCCACCGGAAAATTTCACTTATATTAATCATTCCATACCTGGTGTTGGAGTTGATATTCCTGAAAATCCACCCATTGGTTGTGAATGCACATCATGTAACTGTAGATCAAAATCGTGTTGTGGCATGCAAGGTGGTATCTTTGCATATGCATATAATAAAAGATTACGTATTGCCTCGGGCATACCAATTTATGAATGCAATAAAGCATGTAAATGTTCAATAGAATGCACCAATAGAGTAGTTCAAAGGGGAAGAAATGTTAAATTAACAATTTTCCGAACATCAAATGGTTGCGGGTGGGGTGTACGGGCAGAACAGAAAATAAAAAATGGACAATTTTTATGTCAATATGTAGGTGAAGTTATAACATTTGAAGAAGCAGAAAAGAGAGGTAGAGAATATGATGCTAATGGTTTAACTTATTTGTTTGACCTTGATTTTAATTCTGTTGAGAATCCTTATGTTGTTGATGCAGCACATTTAGGTAACGTGTCACATTTTATAAATCATTCTTGTGATCCTAACTTGGGTGTTTGGGCGGTGTGGGCAGATTGTTTAGATCCCAACCTTCCTATGTTAGCGCTGTTCGCAACACGTGATATTGAGCCAGGCGAGGAGGTATGTTTTGATTATTTACAGAAATCATCGGATTGTGATGTGGCAGATGTAAATAATTCAACAGAGGTATCTGACAATGTCAATGGGTCTATAAATGGAGATGTTGATCGGGCAAGTCCAAATACTGCAGAAGCAAGTATGGGTATAACACCTAGTTCTCCATCTAAATCGAGGTTTGAGATTCAACAGCAAAGTAATACGTCCCTTAAAAATACAGAATGTAAATGTGGGTCACTAAAATGTAGGAAGTATTTGTTTTGATAAAGATATTGAAGTGTGAGGCGAATGATTTTCAATGTGAATCTTTTTTTTTAATTCATGTGCAAGCAAACAAGCAACTTCTAGATTGCATCTCAATGAACAAAAAAGTTTTTATTAGTAAAATACAATTGATTTATATTATGACATAGTATAATTATGTTGGTATATCATATCACAATGTTTTTTTGACTATCAAAACAATGGTATAGTTTTTCAATTTATTATCTATGTATGGCACAATGGAAAAAATCTTTTGCACTAAAAATAATTAATTGTAAGATATGTTAATATCTATATTTTAAGATATATAAATATATATTTATATGAAATATATGTATTTTATAATAAAATTATAAATGAGTACCTATAATTTGTAAAATTGACGGAAAGATAAATATTACCGAAATTAAAAAAAAATACACGTGAAAATTGGGAATATTTACTAAAAGTACATCATAAAGTATTGCGATATAAGATTAGATAAAAATCTAGAATAATACAAAATCTAGATGTAATTTCCCAGTATACTAAGAGACTGTTAAATTCTTGCAAAGTATTAATTAGAGGTTATAAGTGTAACCTTTTTTGTTATTTTGGAATAGTACATTTTTTATTATATTAGTTTTAAGACAACATCTGTATGAACACTGGCGTTCTACTTCAGCATTTAAATTTCACTTCGGTCCTGTTTCTTTAATCATGATTTTTGAATTAATACGTAAAAACTAAAGGGGGAGCGGGTCTGGCATGTACTACGAGTGGTCACCGAGTGGAGGGAGGAGTCGAAAAAACTAAAAAAAAATAGGTTACGTAGTATGGTTATGTTCCCTTACATCCTTGTATAGGTAAACTTGTTTACAGTGAGTTTTTGATACCAAAATCTCTGAATAAAATATATCGTCATTCCTGTCTTTCATCTTTGGTGAAACAGACATAAAAATATGTTTTAAATGAGGATTTTGGTATGAGAAACCCATGGAATAAATTCAACTGTACATGTTCTATGTTGGAACTCTTATTTTTTGTAATAAATGTTTTTGATAATATGCTAATATTAGTGTATTTATCACTATTTCTACTATAAAATATACAATTTAAATGTTGAACATTGAGTTATGTATTATGTTTAAAAAAATATATATTTTTTCTTGATCTGTCATTGAATATAAGTACACTTTTGATTTTTTAGCTAATATTTAGTTATTATTTAGTTTTTCTATACACTTTAGTTAATTAAATGCAATAAATATAAACTGAGTACTTTAATTTGAAAAACTTTTGTCATAGAAATTTCCCAGGTAAATATCTTTTTAAATCATAAACGAAAAGAAGTAAGCAATTTCTTTATAGCAATTCTCTCTGTTTCATTTTGTAACTATAAAGCGTTACAATAGTTAATGCAAAAGATTTATTATGGAGATTAAAAAAAATGTGATTTATTTTGAAAGTACTTCTTTATCATTTGCCTTTTTATAATCTGTAATTTTTCTAATTGAGTTGTATTTATATTAGAATTCAAAAGGAAGAAGGTTCTCAATTTGTCTGTAGGTGTTTTTTTGTTACTTCGTAATTACGAATTATTTAACTGAGCAAATCAAGCCTATAGTTCTTTATATATAGAAATTCGTAAGTATGTATGCATAAAGATAAATGTTTTTAGGTTATGCTAATGCGAAGATCTACAAATGCGATAACCCGAAGTGCCCCCGACCGACTAGTTACATATCTGGGGGGTCGTCTAAGGATGATAACTTCCCATGCCTGCGGCCCGCGTGCACCGGTCGCTTCCAGCTCGTGCGTCACGTCAGCTTCGTCGACTGTCCTGGTCACGACATTCTTATGGCAACTATGCTTAACGGAGCCGCTGTTATGGATGCAGCGTTACTACTTATCGCTGGTAATTAATGCAATCTCTAGAATTATGCTCGAACCCAATATTCGATCCAAAAGATTATTCTAATTACTTTGTACGAAAGAGACAACAAGCGTCTTTAAAGTATTATTTTCTTTTTCAAGACTGATTGAAGACGTATGCCTACCTGTAAGATATGTAAATGTTTGCAAAGTTAGAGGATTGAGGAATGTATGGATGGTTTTTTTGTGTAAGATATGTAAATTAACTACCTTTTATAAAAAAAAGGAATGTGTATAAACATTTTAAAATAATTATTATAGGTAACGAGTCGTGCCCCCAGCCTCAAACGAGCGAGCATTTGGCCGCGATAGAAATCATGAAGTTGAAACACATCCTGATCCTGCAGAATAAGATAGACTTGGTGAAAGAAGGGCAGGCGAAGGAGCAGCACGAACAGATCGTCAAGTTCGTGCAGGGCACAGTGGCTGAAGGCTCGCCCATTATACCGATATCCGCCCAGCTCAAATACAACATTGAGGTATAAACACTTTGTAAAGTGTCATTTTTTATCAATTTGCTAGCTATTGCTAGCGATTTCGTCTGCGCAAAATTGTAAGAAAAACCTTAATTAGGAGCCTATGTTTTTCCAACCTGCGTTCTACATCTATGACGTACTTCATCGAGATCTACTGAGCCGTTCTGGATATACCTACAAACAAACATCCATCCATACATTCAAATATTCGCATTTAAAATATTATTATTATAAAATAAATAAATAACTTTTTATATAGGTTCTATGTGAATACATAACAAAGAAAATCCCAGTACCGTTGCGAGATTTCACATCGCCGCCGCGTATGATCGTGATCCGGTCGTTCGACGTGAACAAGCCGGGCTGTGAGGTGGAGGACCTGCGCGGCGGAGTCGCCGGCGGCTCCATACTGCAGGGCGTGCTCACTGTAGGAATGGAGATCGAGGTAATCAAACTTTTTAATTATAAGGAACAATAAACGTATAAAAGGCATCGATGGCTCAGTGGGTAAGTAACTTGTAATCTGTAATTCCTGGGTTCAAATCCTGTTATGTACTAATGTGTTTTTCCATTTAAGATTTTAAAAGTTACACATTTCTTTGACAATATCATTTTTGGTCTATAGATTTATTTTGGATATATTACTGTTTTATTAACTGACACAATATGTTTGTTTCTAATAATATTTTTGTATGTAATGTGTAATTTCCATTGATTTGAGGTATAATGTGTACGTGCGTATGCGCAGGTGCGGCCGGGCTTGGTGAGCAAGGACGCGGAGGGTCGTCTGACATGCCAGCCGATCTTCTCGCGCATCGTGTCGCTGTTCGCGGAGCAGAACGAGCTGCAGTACGCGGTGCCGGGAGGACTCATCGGCGTCGGTACTAAGATCGAACCCACGCTCTGCCGAGCTGACAGACTCGTCGGACAGGTATGAACACCACTTCTTCAACAGTCTGCTCACACTGCGATTAACACATTTGATTTATGCTGACATAGAAAGTTAAAAAAAAACGACACCCATGGTTGAAAAGTTTTGAAGTAACTATATGACAATATTAATTTACTATGCAAAATTCATAAAAATTAACCTAAAAAGTGGCCTATTTCTATAAATTTCAATAGTAATACTCAATTAGACTCCCGCGACGTCGTCAGGGTGGATAGTTATCTTCTTAAAGGGTGAAAGAATTTTTCAGATTGGTTTAGTAGCTTATTTAATGTAAACAATCAAAATTTTCCGTGTGTAGGTGCTGGGCGCGGTGGGCACTTTGCCTGGCATCTTTGTGAAGCTGGAGGTGTCGTATCACTTGCTGAAGCGATTGCTGGGCGTGCGTACTGAAGGCGACAAGAAGGCTGCCAAGGTGCAGAAGCTTACTCGCCACGAGGTAAGTGGGATGTTTTTCATATCTTGGTAACTTCGCGCGAGACTACAAGAATACTATTTATTTTACTTCTTACTAATATTGTAAATGCGAATGTTTAGATGGATGGGTGTTTGTTTGGAGGAATCTCCGGAATGGCATAACGGATCTTGTTGAAATTTGGCAGAGATGTAGAACATAGTCTGGATATAAATGTTTTTTTTAATTCGGTGCGGACGGAGTCGCGGGCCACAGCTAGTATTAAATATTATAAATTAAGAGTAAAATTAAATGTTAGGTTGGCGTATTAACTTTCTTAAAATTTATTGATTTCTCGTTAATGTAACATTAATTTTAGATGTTGCTTGTAAACATCGGCTCGCTGAGTACCGGCGGGCGAGTCATCGCGACTAAGGCCGACTTGGCCAAGATCGCCCTCAACAACCCCGTCTGCACTGAAATAGGAGAAAAGGTCGCTCTCAGCAGACGAGTGGAGAACCATTGGCGGTAAGTTGACTGTGACTTTCTAACTTTAACACTGTGTCTAAAGAAAACAAGTAAATTCGTCAAAGAATTCATAGGAAGCAAAGATGAAACGTCTAAATAGGTTCCAGCTGTTTAAAAAAAAATTATGCCTTGTCAAATTGATTATAAATAATTTTTGCTGTAAAATGTTGACGTATATCGTTGCTATGACAACAGTCCACAGAGTACTTCCTTTTTTGTACATCTGTGGTGTATTTTAATGCTACTGTTACATGATCATGCTGACATTTATAATAAGCAAAAGGCAGTTTTTCCCCCATTGTGACGAGTTTTTACAATTTGTCTAGGCAATTTATTAACAGGCGGCATGCACGACTAACCGGTAACATAAACATTGGTTATCGAAAGAGTTTGCGACCGATGTTGAGGAAAAAAACAAGTTTTTTATAAAATATATATTTTTTTTTTTTAACAGGTTAATTGGCTGGGGACAAATCCAAGGAGGAGAAACTATCGACCCCGTGAAGAACTGAAGCTGTTTATAGATCCTTTTATATATTTATCTATTGTCATATTATGTAATAAAAACAACTAAAACAAAGTACATTTGTTTTATTTATTCTATTATATAAGCTGTTTACACTAACAAACTTTAATCTTATAATGTTTTTATTTACATTACTATGTGTTTTCACTATAGAAACATATTACAGTTTTTCAAAAATAATAAGAATCACGTTTTTGTATAGTTGTTTCAGCATTGGAAATCTAGAATGAAGACATTCATTTGGCATAACATTATAAGCACAAACTTTTTATTAATAGAATAATAAACAATTGATTTAAATTTTGATTTAATATATTTTAGATATTATTGATAATGTCATATTATGAATTTTATACAATTCTCAGTATATTCCACTTAAAAACCATTAAACATCAATATTTACTGACTAAATCTCTTAGAATAAAACGATGTTTCAATTTTATTACCATTTAGAGTCCATTTAAGTTTTTTGTTAAATAAAAAACTTATCAATTTTGGGTAAATAATTTACATGATTTTATTTATTACTTCTGCTGCTAGGCCATGTATATAAAAGTGTTTATGTCTTCATCATCTCGTCGCATATATTTATGTTCGATAAGCCATTCCAGTTGTTCCTTGATCATCTTCTTGGAAGGCAAGAACATGTTTTTCAATATTTCAATTAGTTCGCTCTGAAAAAAAAAGTTTTATATCTTACTTATATAAATGCAAATGTTTAGATGTTTGGGTGGATGGATGTTTATTTGATGTTATCTCCGGAACGGCTCAACGGATTGTAATGAAATTTGACACACATGTATAACATAGTCTGGAAGAATACATAGGCTACTTATTAAATTTTTTTATTCCGCGTGGACGTAGTCGCGGGCGACAGCTAGTCATGCATAAAATAATTACCCCAAATATATTTTACTTCAAAAAGATACACAATTACAGAACTGAAAGATGGAGTTGCTGGAACTACTTTTTACCTGCAGTGCTGTGTTCGTAATGCGCTTTCTCATCTTTAATATTTTGATAATGGCCTCCTGAGTTCTTAGAATTCTTAATTGTACAATAGAATGGTTATCCTCAATCTGAGAACGTTCAGTGCTCAGCTGCAGTCTGCCAATCAAATTTAATTTTCCACGCCTTTGAGGTTTCCCATTCTTTATAAGAGCAAAATCTTGATTTACCCAAAAGGCAGTGTTTTCTGCAAAATCTTTAGGATTCTGTACGACCGGTTGATAACAGAGTAATTGCCGTTTGAGTTTAGGAAAAGCAACTAGGGACCATAATGTCCTTCTTAATTCAGGATCAGGAAGTTCAGTTGCAAGTCTTAAGTTTTCATATGTCACCCGGTCCAATGGTCTTTGGTTCCATGCAAACAAAACTGCCATTTGGAAAGTAGTTACATCCAAATCAAATCTACCAACTGAGTTTGCAAATGTAATTGTACCATTACTCATATGATGGTACCACTGCAACTTCCTACCGGAATGCTTCTTCTTATAAAACTCCTCCACCTCTGGTATATAATCCTCCAACTCCAAGGGCAAACTAACCGTTACTCTTTCGGAGCCTCGAGCCCAAGCTCCTGCATTCAGAATCTTTATATTGATTGCATCATGACGAGTTGTTTCTCCTCTGAATTGAATATTGAGATCTTCACTTACTTTAATATCTTGGAACATTCGAGCTAACTTATTTACATAATCAGCAGGCATACCAACTTCTCTTAACCACTCAACCATATCTTCCTCTTTTTCAGAGTCTGCACTAGAGTCTAATATCAACCTTCTTGTTAAATGCGCCTTATGATATCTCATAAAAACATCTTTGTTCTCAATATACTTCAATACTAAGAGTACATCTTTTAAACGAGATTCTATTTGTTCACTAGTTAAGCGTTTACTAAGAGGAGTTTTCCGTAGTAACATATCACAGTAATTTGCAAGCAGTTCGGGACACTTACTTTCAGGAGCGGTACCTTTACTACCGCGAAGAAGCGCTGATGATGGAAGCTCTAACTTAAAAACTGTTGTGTCATTCACTACACATTTGTAGGCTTTGTCCCTTGCAGTCAAAAACCTAGGATCGTCCATAAAAGCTTCCTTAACAAGACTACTGAACCTTTTGAATAAATCTAGTAAGCGTTCCACATACTTTTCTGAGTCTGTGGTTATAATGTCAGCAGAAGCCACCATGTCAGCTAAACCAGCTGATACAATATGAGCTTCTAAGTCTCTCAGTATGGGAGTAACTCCCCCTGGCACTCTGTCTAGCAAACGGAACATAAGCTGCAACTTCTCTGTCTCTCCAGCTTTAATTAATGGTGCACTTTCAGCTAATAATGTAGGCAAATGTTCAGTTATTATAACTTTCTCACAGCATTGTGTCAGTGCTGCAACGCTTCCACTGCCCGGCTCCAAATACCTGTGAGCCCTAGCCTCTTCTTCCTTTATACGTTGATCAGCATACTTCATATAGGACTGTACACCATTAGCCAACAAATATTCATTAGCTTTGTATTTATAGAATTCTTCAGTGGCTTGCATGTAAGCTGCTTCAAAATTTTCTCTGTATATTTGCAATTTATCATTTGTTTTTGAACATAAATTAACTGAAACAACATATTACTTGTGTAAGAAGTAAGTTTTTACATGTAACTCAATGGTTGATAGTTCAATCTAAGATCTAGAGCAAATAACAGGGCAAGACCTTAATTTCTTTAGTTTTGTTTAATATTATCAAAAGTAGTGAGCAATCTAAATTTATGAATAAGTAAAAAAATTATTGGTTATATTATAGTTTATATAAGTTACTATGATTTCTAATGATTAATAATCAACACTGATGATAATAAACCCAAGAGGTTTGGAAAGATAAGCATTTGGTTTAGTGCAATCTTGGCACATCTGCCTTATTATTTCTGCATACTTGACACACTATAGAAGTATATGTAAGACATGTAATAGCAGAAAATGTAACCTTACCATATGATTCTCTTACACCAATGACCAGCTGAGAATCAAATGACTCTCCATTCCTCTCAGCTTGGACTAATTTCATGGCAGAATCCTGCAACCTCTGCTTGATATCCACAAATATACTTTGGTTCCATGAATCTAACATTAGTTTTCGGACCAAACTATCCTCTATATTGTTGTTGTTATTCTTTTTCAGGGCATTTGATGTGTTGGAAATTGCAACTTTGCTTATATTGTTAATTGAATTTTCTAATTGACGAAATGGTGTCGGTAAATAGTTGCATTGCGTGAAAAATTTGCCCCATTCTGCTATGTATGCTTTAAGAAGAGCTTGGTCTTCTCTTTGCGCGAGTACACGAGCCTGAGCTTGCTTTATGTACATCGTTATATCTTGCTGAAGAGCATCTCGTAACTTGTAAGGACCCCTTTCGTCCCACAGGCATACGGAATGTACAGCTCCGAATAGATCTTGCCATTCTATTTGGGTAACCGCCTCCTGTTTTAAAAGCTTCAAGACTATTGGACGCATAAAAGGCCATTTATCTTCAAAAGTAACCTGCCCTCTATCCTGAAAATAACAGCTTTTGTAATCCGATGCACAAGAAAAATGTTAGTTTTATAATATGATACGATACCTTTAACATGGTTTATTGAAAGGATTTTGTATTTTACAATAAAAAAATCACAAAACGCATAACATACAACCACTGTGTATTATTTCTATTTTTCTTCACTTTTTGATCAAAGCCAAAGAGAATATAGCGATTTTTACGATACTCAAAAGTTACTACCGAAGGCCAAGGCAATCAGAATCAGCCATACAGCAAAGAACTTTTTCCGGAAGATGAAAAACAAATTGTTAATATTATTCCGCAGTATCTCTTAATGTTTGTAATAAGGCTTATTTTTATATAAAACGTAAAATATCTTGTATTATTCATTTTTTTTTAAAGTAAAAAGCTGATGAGATGCATGATGCCTTTGCCGTTTGTAAATTTAATTATAAGTTGTCAAAAAATGCGAACTCATTTGACATTGACAGTTTGAAAAGTGCGCAGACAAAAGTTTTTTTTATTTTATTAACTTGTATATTTGTAACCAATTTTTTAATATATAAAATTACGTGAAAGACCTTTCATAATACTGAATTAAAAATGAGTTTATTTGGTGAAATTGTTGAACCTGCAAGCCGAACTATTTGGGAAGATTGGGATGATGTTTTACCAGAAAGAGATGATTCTAAGTAAAAAAAGTTTTCAATGAGTATATTTACATTATTATATTGCATTATTATATCAAACGTTTTTTTTCAGGTTGCAGTGGCAGAATAAAATCGATATAAACCAAGACATTGATACATTTTATTTTATTGATGGAAAATATTTAAAACATTTCATAGATCTGCAATCACAACAATTGCAATTAATTAATGAAATAAAAGAAGTGAATTTAAGACTTTATAAAATTAAATTACTCCATAAATATCTGTGTACAATAAAAGATTATGATATTGTTTTAAGCAGTGAAATAGTTCAATTATTAGAACCATATCTAGAATCATGTAAAAATATTATAACCATCCAAACCATTCCAATTTCGGAGTATCGAAGTACCCAGTTTCATGTACAACCATGCGTCATAAGAGGACTATATACATCGGCAGTAGCAAATAAATCTGAATTTGAGTTTCCAAAACTAGAGCAACCTAATATAATATCTGGAGTTGTGGCAGGAGGTAAGAATAAATTTCCTGATTTGTTGTAGACATGTATTTTATGTGAATTCTTTTTGTGTGAAATAAAATTCTCAATAATACAATGTTATGTTGTTGACCATTATAATATTAGTATTATCACCTTATTTCATATGAGATCATGGTAATAGCTGTTATAAACCTTAACACAGAACCCATAACCTAGAACACATTTTTAAAACTTTTGTATCTTCACACTATCATAGAGATATAGAGCAAACCAGTATTTTATTTCACAAGAAATAGGTTTTATATATTTTTTTTCTTTTCAGTCATATCTTTAAGGGAAAGATTAAATCAAAATGGAATTGCATTAATATGTTATATGGAGAATACAGATGACTATCAAGTGGAAGAATTACAAAAGTTATTTAATAAACTCGATCTTGGTTCAGTTTACAAACCGACAATTAGTAATGTTATTAGTTCTAATTTATATATTTGATTTACATTAAATAATATCTTACAATCTAATTCTTTCATTGGCCTTTGCTACCCAAAATGGCATACTCAATCTCTTTTCAGCTATGTTACGCCCACTGCTGGGCATAGGCCTCCCCCAAGTAATAAATATGGTGCATTTCACAATCACTGATTTAATCTTACTAATACATAAATGTGAATGTTTGGATGGATGAATGTTTGAAAGTATCTTCAGAATGGCTGAATGGATCTCCCTGAAATTCCGCATGTAGATGCGGATAGGCTAGAGAAACACATAGGCTGCTAATTTAGTTATTTCTTAATATATATAAAGCCAGTAACTATATAACTCTTACTGTTACATGTGAATATTTAAAGCTGACATAGCTGCCAGTATTTTAAGTTTGCTTACGTAATATTGGTAATCAATAAAAAAAACAATAATATATCTTAAAAATTATTTAATTAACATCAATACCAGTGTAACACAATATTACATTAAAAAAAAATAATATTTTACATAAATTAATTAACAAAACATAACATAAGAAACTCATAATTTATACAAAATTAGCACAGCCTATTGAATCGCAGAACAGTTGTTTATTCAGAAAAAACTAAGCATTTTATAAAAAAAAAAATACTTTTCTGATGAAAATCACCCATAAAATATATTTTTCACTTTTTACAACATTTACATATTAAGGAAAGATATGTTAGAGAAAAAGGTAATTTTGGAATACACATATAAAAAAAAATAATGGGCTTTCGAATTTGGTGAAATTTATTAAACTGCACGCTTAAATTGTTTGTTTTTATATTCAGCAGAAATATTAAAATTATTCATCGTTCGTATTTATCTTTAATTTTTATTGTATGTTTTATTCAATATATTTTATTAATATAAGAGCTAGTGAGAAATGTAAGATTCGAAATATTAACATTTCTATGGCTATACAAAATACCTTAAATTAGTAAGCATATAAAAATTCGATGACCCGCTTAGAAATGATATCAATTAATATAAATAATCATTTTAAATTACCTCTTAACCTTATTCTATAAAGTATAAAAAATATATTTTATCCATGCTGCTTTCAACGCCATATTACCAAAATTGTTATATCTGATTAAAATTAATTACATTATTAATTTTTAATGACAACTAAATAATAAATCAAAATATAGTCAAATATGTAAAATTTAAAAACAATTTTTTTTAACATTACCACAAACCTACACTGTGGTAAGACCTGAATAAAACCTCTTTTCCAAATAAAGATATCTTTTATAAAGGTTTCGTCAGTGGAAACTCACGGTTATATAAATAGAAATTTTAACAGTAACAATTTATTAATACATATCTGTGCGACAATGAAAATTATACTTTGAGAGCAACTTTAATATAATTAACCACTGATCTCTATCTAGCTTATTTGTTAGAGTTCCCAACACCGCTACAGCCAGCGCCAAAATGGCGAAAATCAAATAGGCACAAAATACCAAGGCCTATCGCCAGTTCAATGACATATAGAGGTCAGTGTAATTATTATAATAGAAATTGTCTTTTATAACATAAATATTTTACTGTCCTTAAATGTAACATTTAAACTGCGATCCTGTAATAAGTATGTAATGGCAATAAGTTTATAAATATTATATTTTAATGAATGCAATTTATACTCTGTGAAGCATCCTTTATAATTTTTTATTACGTTGGAAATCTTGCAATTTTTTCATTGTCAGTTTGACATAATACATGAAAATCTTTTTTGGTATATATATATTTTGAAAAATTAAATATCAAAAATAACACGATACTAAATTTTAAACAATTTATATAACAATACATAATATAATAATAACACTAAAAAGCGAATGTAGTTCCATATGTTTAAATCCCCATATTTTTAATACAATTGCATGATTCAAAAATAACATTGGTAACAATTTGAACAAAATAATTTGATTATAATTCTTAAACAATTTACATATAATTTTAATGTTTGAAGTAAATCTTCCTACAAATTTTTAAATTAGCATATTCTTATGATTAATTTTTTTTTAATTTTGATATTGAAAGCTTATTTCTCAATGATATATGTCTATGGCCACGGCATGCGTAGTTTATATAGACTAATTAAAAGTAAAATTCATCTAGCCCGGTGGACAAAATTGAAACTAAAGTTCAACATCAAATAACCAACTTGTCATGTCTTTTTTATCAAAATTTTTTTTTAATAAACTGCATTTGTTCGGAAACATGTCCCATAAAATTTCTACGTAATTTTTTTAACTCTCAAATTTACAACGAAGCAATAAAATAGCGTAGAAGTCATAATTTGACATTCATTTGTAATTATTTAGTTCCACTTTGGTCCACCAGACCAGATGAGTTTTTCTCACTAGAATACTATTATGAATACTTATAATTATAATATTATTTAGTCATATTATTATATGCATAAAAATAGGTTATTAGTATTATTGAATTCTACAAACTAAACATACAGATCACTACTAGAAAAAATCACTTATAAAAAGCTTAACTTTAATAAATATTAAATGTACTCTTAGTGTAAAATATATCGATATAGTAGACTCGATTATCCAATTCGTTACTAATCGATTTTCTTCGGCATTACTAAACGATTAGTCTGGTTTATCAAGTTTCTACTGTATATGTAAAATATATGCTTATTTTTGCATTTTAATGATAAAATATATTTCTATATTAACTGACATAAATTTTTCTGCACTTTAAAAAAAATATATATTTTCAGAATGTAAGTGCAATTAATTTTTATATACTTAATGTCAAATGTATATTTTGGTATACTCTTCTCTAAATGTGCGTATGTTGAATTTTAATCTCTTTTTGCTTCTTTTAAATATAAATATTATATATAATATATAATTTGTATGTTTGTTTGTATATCAAAAATATATTGATGTAATCTATAGGTGGTAATAAGTAATGTCAGAAAGACGAGGTAAGAAAGTTAACATTAATACTTTTGCAACTTTCAGAGTTGATTATATCCTCTCGAGAAGTTACATATACAAAAAATATCATTATTTTAGTCTCCTACTAACTTAACCTTTGTCAAATTTCACGTTTTTCAGCTCTTGCAATTTCCTTATAAAAGGTGGTACAAATTTTTTGCTTCTCGTAAAAAATCTTTGATTCGTGATACGTAGATTATTCCAAGAATACTGTTTGATCATTATCATATTACTTTTATAGTAAGAAATAAAAAATAAGGGAAAAATGCCATAAGGCAAAAATAAATATTAAACTCGCCTTTTGATTTTTGTGAAAAAAAAATTGTTGAATTTAAGTCACCAAAGTTTCTGAATCACAGATTTTTATTTCTTTTTAGACAGTTTTAACGGGTTATATCAAAAATTGTCTTTGGTTCTTCGTTATTACTCTTCATCACCTTTTTTAAAGACTAGGTTCCGTGCAGAAAGATTTACAAGTCCAGGCGTTTTGTTTAGAAAATATGCATTGCAAAAAAAATTTCAAACTATGTTATTTTATAATAGAAGTTAATATTGTTAGTACATGTATATTTTATTTTTAAGGCAATTCTGATTTTATTGATACTGTAATTTAAATTTTTTGTAATTTTTTATACATATTATTTTTTTCATGTTTATTACTTGGTCCATTATGACAAGCCAGTGTTTTATGGTCACTATATTTTATTTAACAATAAAGTTGCCGGGACATTTGTTTTTACAATAAAAAATTATACGTAATTTATGTTAAATGTTTCAATTCTAAACGTCTATTGGTATAAAATTTTTATAAAATATAGCTATATCAATGTTTTTATAATATTTGAGCTGTATAAATGAGTTATTATTAAAGATCCGTTTCGTAAATATTAAAAAATGTATTTCTTACCATGTTTATTATTATTTATTATATAAAAAATGTATTTTAATATGAAAAATGCTTGCATGTTAATAATTTTATTATTAAAAACTTCTTAATTGATTAATAAATCTAATTTATAAATTCTATTTCTACAATCTATGGTTTAAATGATTATTGGATGCTCTTCATTATAAAATATGATTAAGCAATATTGAGGGCAATATATATGTTTAATCCACATAAAAGGTTATCACTTATCAATATGACATACAACTTGTATATCGTGAGTATATTATCAAACGTATAATAAATATATACTACAGTTATATCAATCTATGACCAAAAATAACAGAAATTATGAATTTTTTTCCGATTTTTTTTTCAATTAATTCCATTTTTAAAGTACTTTTTGTACATTAAAATATATATATATATATATAATTCCACATTTAAACAAAAAACATTAACAAGTGTAAATTATATAATACAGATATTAGAAAGTCTAAATATCTTTTTTACCCGATAAGTTTATTATTGATAATATGAAATGCTTTAAGCTTGAAAATCGCAATGGTGCAATACCCATTATATATTTAAGATGATATATAATTTTATATAAAAACTTATCACTTAAAATTGCTAACACCAAATCAACATTAAGTTATAAAAATGTTAAATGAGAATTACTTATACATACCTCTTAGTTGCCCTGCGTAGCTTCTAATGACTAAATCTATTTATATAAAAATGACTCCGACTCAATTTTTATATGTTATATATAAAAGTTTTTTCTCTAAATAGCTTTGGAGGTACATAGAACAGCCTTTTGTTTTACTATTTTCTATTATCTCAGTTTCATTTCTAAATGTCATTGATGCCACCGTTGTTTTGTCCAGCCTTTACATTCTCGAGTATTTTGTTGACAAATTCTGAAGTCTGTCCCGCTATTTTAACCTCTGTAATAGAATTTAAGAGTACATTGTATTTAAGTACGAGTATTTTAATAAAAACAAATTAATAGACTAACTTTGTTCCAAGATATAATTGTATATAAAAAATCTTTATCTAAACTTTGTGGCAAAATCATTGAATTAAAAAAAATCTTATGGAACCAAAATTTTCGGAAAAATGTAATTTGTTAAAAATTTTAAGACTTGATTTGAAATCTGTAGTCATAATAAAAAAAATATTTTTTGCAAAAAAAAAATCCAAATGGCAAAATTGTAAATACATACCTGTAGCTGTAGACACAATATTCGCGGTATGTGTTGACCAATCGACATTTTCCGGATTACTTATCCGACTGTTTAATATTTGCTTCATTTGCGATATGCCATTCATAAGGCGTTCTGAAATTATATAATTCACATTGAAATTTATTTAAATGCACCTCTGGATAACATGGAACCCACATTTATTTATTAATTTCTCGATTTTTTTAATCGTTTAATTCTTCTCTTTTAGCTCTCTTTAATTATTATTTAATCTATTAATTTTGACCAATTTGAACTTTGAAATTTATGTATGAACTTAACAACTTTTAGACTGAATTGCTGGAATGAATGTGACCTGGTATTCATATTTTTTTCCGAAAAGTTATCTTTTAAATTAATTATTAGTTTGATGCCTCACATAATATTATCATGCATAAAACTTACTGTGCTCTTGCTGTAGCCCGTACAATTTTAATTTATTAGCTTCATGCTGTGCTTTCTTCTTTAATCGGCAGGCCCTTGAGGCAAGTTTGTTCTTTTCCTTCCTTGTCTTAGGCCTCACGTTAAACGGCAGCTCGCTAACTGGTATCATATCAGTAATGACTTTGCTCAAATTATCAAGTTCGAGGCCAATCATATACAACTTCTTTGGATTTGGGGTTAAGTCATTTCCATCACCTTTCCTTGCTTTTCCACTGAAATAATTATGCTATATTTATACGCCAATAAAAAAGAAAAAGAAATTCTCGTTTTTATTTAATATTTAGCATTACTAGATGCCAGCAATAATAAAATCTGTTGCATGAATGTGCTGGCTTGGCCATTGAAATACCACGATCTAACAGAAGGCAGGCGTCAAGTGGAAGCAATACCGCGTTTCGCCTGATAAGTGTGCGTCCTGGAGATCCTCTTTTCATCTCCACCTTTCTCTTATATGGTAAGATTTGGAAGGAGCAGTGGCTTTGACGAAGGAGGCAAGAGGTAGGGGAAATGTACTCTGTGCCTCCCCTCTTTCATCGTTTGGGGATAGGTAACTCATCTGCAATTGTGTATGTCTATAGTAAGCGCTCGTCTACCTTATGATATAAAAAAATATATTTACCTGTGCTTGATGCCTCGGACACTGCAGCTGGGACTAAAAACAGGGTCTGTAACTGAATTTAATACGTGCGGGTCTTCTGATTTCTTCTTCAAGATCAAACGTTGACCTTTAGGACCTTTAGCCTGGACATTGTACTGCCAGAAATATTTCTCTTTCCTTGATATGCTGCGCGCATGTTTGTTCTCTGACCCCTCATCATTGGATTCTAAAAATAACAAGTTTATGTTTAATTGAAACCTGAAACACTTTGCTACACTTAACAATTTGTTTTTATTGCATCATGTTAATAAAATTATATGTAACCAATACTAACTCTTCTAGGATAGTTAAAGATTAAATAAACTTTGTATTATGTATGAATAATCATTTCCATATATTTACTTCATATAAAAGTAAACATTTGTTTTGAACCTAACACATAATAATTTTTCAATTAATAATAAAAATAATTTATCAAAATTGACAAAAGACAATAAAAAAAGTCTGTTAGAAATTAGTTAATTCTGCAGACAAACAGGTACTAGAAAAAATCTACAAGAAAAATCTATGACATTTCAAGGTCATGTGACACATATAATTGTCTCTGGTTTTTTTAAAATAAAATTATATGGATGGTAAAATTACTTTACACAATAATTTCAACAATTAAAACTGACAGTAATAATAATTTAAAGACTTGTTTGAAATACGGCCCTGGCAATTTCTCGCTTTCTCTCTAACCAGAGTTTTTCGCCTATGGAGGTTGTCCGTCGAGACCAGAAAATGATTCTCGCTTTTCAAGGTTTGACAATATGTAAATATCTTATGTATACTTGTATATTACCATCAGAAGAAAAATCCTCATATCTGTCACTATCTTCATCTGATTCCGCCTCTTTTTCCTCTTCATCTTGAGAGAAATCACCAGCACCAGGGCTGAGCAGACTTCCTGACAAAGATGACACAGATCCTGCCTCCGCTAAAGAGCTAGTTGATAGCAAATGCTTGCGAGGCTCCCTGCGCTGCCAGATCTGTAATTATTATACACATGTAAATAATTATTATTTTTCAATTTTTTTTTTTAAATAACCATGCATCTTAACAAAGGATGTTTTTTTGTATCCTTGATTTTGCAATCACAACTTTTGCATACATGATTAACTACTATTCTAATATATATATATCTTTTATAATTATCATTGATTTCACATCTTTATAGTTCGCTCCACTTTAATATGCTTAAAGTATTTCCTTATTGTTATGTTAATAATCGCCTACATGTCGTTTTTGAATAATTTATAAATATTTATGCTAAAATTATTCTCAAGACAACTTTTGGGTTGTAACACTTTGGTTGCCATAAATACTTTCCTTCTCATATAAATAGGAATATAAAAACAACAATTTGAATTATATAGTTAATTTTATTACTTTAGTATTAAAACTTAAAATATTTGGGAATTTTGTTTAGCAATTCCTTACTAGATAAGATGAGGAAAATATGTTATAAAATATTGGAAAGCACAAAACCTTGATAAAGTATACATAACAATATCTAATTGAAATATTTGATATCTTTCCACAAGATATAAATTAAAAATCAACAAATATTTGCACCGTTAAAAACATACAAACATAGAAGAAAAACATAGTATTTTTATTGTAAATCAATAAACATACCTGTTCCATTGTTAGATGAGTTGGAGCTGATGATGAAAGTTGTGACTGTTGTGGTTTGATTGTAGAAGTAAATGGAGGCAAAACAGTTGAGGCGGGAACTGATTGTCCAAGCGCAATCTCCCCATTGTAACCGTCCATCCTTAGCAGTAACTCAGATATCTGATTGTTTGGCTGAGCAAAGCTAGACGAAGCGGACGAATGCTGGCTTGACGGTGAAAACGCAAGTTGCGTCCTACTGTACGGACTAGACGGACTCTCTGAAGGGCGTAAATTAGAAGCTTGCAAAGTATTAATGGCACGACGTGAGCCGCTCATTGCTCCTCCAATTTGAATACAATATCCATTCTCCTCTGGCAAGAGTAAGTCATCAAAATTAAGATCGTCCAATAAAGTATCTGGGTTTGCATTCAACTCAGCAAGAGTCGGCCCTGAAATCAAGTCAGCTTTATCTACTTGGAAAATATCATCATCTTCCATTTTGAATGTGTCCAGTTTGGTATTATCTGCTTCAAAAAGCAACTTATTATATTGCATTGTTGGTACATTATGGAAGGAAGATCCAAAATTATCCTGGAGACACATATCCAAGTCTGCGGTGAAGTCGCACAAGTCGTTGCGCCGCTGCGGAATTGGTACGGAAGCTGACATTGTGCCGAGTTCGTAAGGTGATTCCTGTTTTATTTCCATTCCAGGTTCCAGAAAGAAATCATTCGTGTAAATAGAGTCCGACATTGCACGTGTTGTGTAGGATGACCTTGACGTAGTAGAATCGTCTCGTTGATAGACTGGCGCACGCTTATGTCCTTATCGATTTTAATTCACGCTAAGACCCACGTGTCGCAGTTTACTATTTCAAGCCTCAACATTTAGCTTAGAAATAAAAGTTTTACCAGGATCTCACAAGTAATATTCATTCTTTAATCACATTACGTAAATCAACGAATTGAAAAATATAAGCACTTGTTTATCCACAATGACTTGTTATCGAATAGAGGCAAGGTATTATTTTATTTGCCCGAAATACCCGAAAAGTTACATAATTACACACCAAATCTTTAATTTCACATTGATAATCTATTACACTTTATTCCTTGAAGAATAATAAGCTTACAAAGATTATATTTTCGCACAATAACAAAAACACTACCACGAGACAAGTCGAGAAGTAAACAAAGATTTTACGGTGGGTATTATTATTCAGCAAATTCAAAGGTCATGTGGACGAGACAGATATATTTATTTTGCAAAGGAAAGAAAAGGACAGGTAACGTCGAAAGTCATACGAGGAGGGGAAGGGGACGTCATAGGGGCTCGCCTAACTAGACAAACAACTATACAAATAAACATTCCAATTGTAAGTGGCACAACCTTGCGAAATTTATAGTTATTATGAATAGTTTTATATTAAAATTACAGTGATACTAAAAGAATAATCAAACTAAATGGTATATAATTTAAGTAAATTAACAAACGTAATAAATAAAATTACTAATTTACTGAGCCAACTAAAGTATACAATATTTATTACATGTAGTAAGTAAATGGTACAGATTTCTGCAATAGTGATAAACAAATATTTTTCTTTGAATAGTTTTAGCTACGAATCAATAACTGACTACTTTAAAACACTTAAGCTTCACAAATGCTCACAAATAATATAAAAACCATGTCATGAGGGCGCTTCAATCTCTATTGATATTGCAACACTACATTTTAGTCAATACAAAAGAACCAATGCCATTTCAAAAATTTCTATTAAAATATAGTATTTTCGACATATTATACTAAATTAGTTCTCTATACATTTCTTCTAACAATATTTTTCAGCATATTAACACAACAAATTATCGGAGCCTCATAAATTACTCTGCGAATAGCGAATAGAAGAATAAAATAAAGCCCTATGACAACTCGACAACAATCAGTAATGTCAATACCGAAAACGATTTTTTTAGTGAAATTGTTGTTTGTTGTTGCTATTATAAGAAATTTATTCCGTAGGTTTTCCGCAATATGGCATGTAGTGGTATTTTTCTGGGTGGCCTATGCAAACAACCATTTTTACTTATAAATTCAATTTGAAGATGTCTCCGAATTTTTTTTAATTAATCTTATTTTATTACCTGTAATGTGCTCATAGACAAGGGATTTTACAATAAAGACAAAAAGATAGACAACAAATTATAACCAACAGCTGAGCGTCAAAAACTCACTGACAAATTAATATTGTAATTTATATTTTTATATTATGGGCGACGAAGAATTAAATTCTAGTATAAAATGTGAAACACGTAGGTATAATGTTATAATAATTGGCGGTGGAATGGCTGGTCTTGCCGCTGCAAATTACTTTATTAAAAATGGTATGGAGGACTTTATTATACTTGAAGCTAGGAATCGTATCGGCGGAAGAATAATTTCAATACCTATGAAAAACCACAAGGTTGAACTAGGTGCGAATTGGATCCACGGTGTTTTGGGTAATCCAATATTTGAAATTGCTACTGCCAATGGACTTGTAAACATTATTAACATACCTAAGCCTCATAAAGTTATAGCGGCGACTGAGGATGGGAAACAAGTACCCTTTGGTGTTCTACAAGAAATACACGAAGCATACGTTTGTTTTCTAAGACGGTGCGAAGAATACTTTTTGTGCCAGTACCTACCACCACCTGACATTAATAGCGTAGGTGAGCATATAAATCTCGAAGCCACAATATACCTCGAGCGTCTGCCATCGTCGGAAGAAAAGAAATTGAGACGCCTAATATTTGACTGCCTATTGAAGCGTGAAACCTGCATATCAGGTTGTAATAATATGGATGACATTGATCTTTTAGAATTAGGCAGTTATACAGAATTACAAGGAGGGAACATAATGATTCCGTCAGGTTATAGTGGTATTTTGGAACCATTAAAGAAGCTGATAGCTCCAGAAAAAATATTGACCAATCATCCAGTAAAAAAGGTCATATGGGATTCTGACCAACACACTGCTAGACAACTAGATGATATGGGAGAGGAATCAGAGGATTCAGATCAAACAGTAATTGAAGACATTTCAAGAGCAAATTCTGATAAGGCAAATAATTCCGAAGTGACTGCACCACTTACAGAAACACCTCAGAAACCAAAGAAAAAGTTATTGCATAATGTAGAGGTTATTTGTGAAAATGGCCAGAGCTTTTATGCAAATCATGTCATATGTACAATTCCTTTAGGTGTTTTAAAAGATAATGCAAATACAATGTTTGAGCCTGCATTACCACGGTACAAAATTGAATCTATAGACAGACTGCTTTTTAGTGCAGTTGATAAAATATTTTTAGAGTATGAAAGGCCATTTTTGAATCCTGATATAACAGAAATTATGCTTCTTTGGGAGACACCATCATGTCCAGAAGACCTAGCACAGTCATGGTATAAAAAAATTTACTCTTTTAGTAAAGTAACAGAAACATTGCTACTTGGCTGGGTATCTGGTAAAGAAGCTGAATATATGGAAACACTCTCTATGGATGAAGTAGCCGTTACATGCACAAAAATTTTACGCAAGTTTTTGAATGATCCTTTTGTACCAGAGCCACAAACATGTGTTTGGTTAGTATATTTGGATTAAGTAATAATTGTGTAAGAAAAATAATACCAAATGATATAGATTAAAAGAGTAGAAAGATTGTTAATGATAAGCTAACCATTATCTGCAAACTTATGGTCATTTTACGCAATAAAATTCTGCACTATCATATATAGACTTTGGCATTAGATATAAACAGTTTAATATCTCACCATTTATCATATTAAATATTACCTATTTATTAAATCATTTGGATTACATTTTAAATTTACATTTAAAAGATTTAATTAATAATTTTTTTTTTCAGCACAAGTTGGAAAAAGCAGCCTTACACAAGAGGGTCGTATACAGCAATTGCTGTTGGTGCTAGTCAAAGTGATATTGAGAGTTTGGCACAACCATTATTTAAAAATGTTCATGATAAGAAGGTATGTAAAACACTGCTTCTTTAATAAAATATCATTTAATTTAGTCACTGTGTACGAATACAAGACAGGTGTTCGGTTCGAGATGTGTTATCTGACTGACAAATTGTGCACAATTAAAATAGGTATTCTGTGGTCTAGGAAACAGACTGCTTTTGTCCTTTATTCCAATATATATCATATTAAAATAACAAGTAATATGTGAAGAAAAATTAATCTTATTTATCAATTGTTGTTATTTTCAGCCCACATTGCTTTTTGCGGGTGAGCACACACACAGTAGTTTCTATTCGACAGTCCATGGCGCATATTTATCAGGTCAGACAGCAGCTCGTCGCTTATTAGCTCCAGATGATATCCCGGAGAGCACATTGGATTGCCCCGGAACAGCTGACTTGAACACGTGGATACAAGGCGTACAATTAGGATAAATATTATTGTTTAATTTGTTTGTATGTTGAAAGTTGTGAATGAAATTGATCCATAGGATCCGTTATTTTGTTTCTTTACAAGATAAAGTGATATGCAAGGCAGTTTTTAACTGCAATTATAAATGCACTTACAATTTTTGTTATTTATTATAATTGTTGTTTAATGGCCTACTGTTTGACTACCATAGAGCCAAAGAATTTGTGATTTTGTTCCTATACTTTTTTAATGTGGCAACATTTATGAATTTGACATGCATTTAGCAACAGTCTTTTGTATTATATTACAAAATTTTCATAAATTGGCAACTAAATCTGTCACAATGGGTGTTCTATTTTTATAATCAAGACAAATTGTATTGTTTGTACTTCTAATTCAATTGTAAAAAAATCTGGAAATTTAAATTTTGACAAATATTTCATACACATTCCTGCTATAAAATTAAAACGCTCAATATAAGACACTCGAATTCTAAACAATCAAGTTAAACGAAAATTAAAGACACTTTATTATGTATTGTTTGTATAAAATGTATATAGATGTCAAATTTAGTTGAATTTTAAAGAGATTTTTTTTGTCTTTCACACAAGCGCATTTTTAAAACTACCAGTATTAAAATAGGTTAAGTTATTCTAAAAATTCGATATTATTCAATGTAACCGATTATTTAATTTGGAAGCCATTCCAATGATTGCTTAGTAAATGAAATATTTAATCAAACAGCCTGTGGTTATAATTATTTATCTTTGTAGATTTGGCTCACAAACATTTTTTATATGTACAACAATATAGTAAATAGAAGAAATTTGACGCGAGAATAAAAATTGTAAAACATGACAGGATTTAGGTTAAAAATTTTGTCGTAAACATTAGTGTATAGAAATTTAATTTAGCTTAAAATTATAGGTGATGAATACAATTTTTGTATTTATATAAATTAGTGCATATATGTTTGTGATTTGAGATAAATCATAGATTTAGTTTTTCATTTTTATGGATACATAAATAATGTAAAAGCTATTTAACCATGTAGTACTTTTCTATAAATGAAATGGTGTACAATCAAAGACTCGTTCAGTTCGTAGCTTGTTTTGCCTATTGGATTTTTCTAGTCAGAGCGAAGTTTTTTTATGTCGCTTAAATAAATCATACAAAATTAAAATAGCCTTTTTATTTTTTAATTAGCACTATCCCGCGAATTGTGCGCAGAGTTAAGAACCTTTCTTAAGTAGCTTATATCAGGCGAACCATTGGTTTTTAAGACCAATATCTCTGTATAAAACGTATCGTAATCCACAAGGATAATAACAATACATAACAATATTATCTTTGACAAAACAGAGATATCGATATGTTTTAAACGAGGATCTAGGCCTCGGAAACCTACGGTAAGTCCTATAACTGCATATACCAAATACTGGAAATACCTTCGAATATAGAACCGTCTAAACAATCGTATAAAAAAATTTGTCGCAGCTTCGTTGCAGTGGTTACATTGTAGGTAATAAATTGTTATTTTATAAACTTATGTAGTCGATACAAAGGTTAAAATAAACGTGTTTTTAATTTTTTTAACTTAGTCTCACCGGCGCCGAAGCTGTGAAGGCCATAGCTCGGAAAGCGTATTACACATACTAATTAAATAACAACAGTATTTATGTTGAGCACGCAATGTAAGATTACATGATAGGATATTAATGTTCATGGTCAATTAAATGCTTAATTTTAAGCGGTAGTTGTTTAAAATCTTGCTGTATATTATACGTTTAGTTTTATTTTGCACTAAGTTTTGTATTTGTTCTACGCTTTTATATCAACTTAGCTCTACTGTTGACGTATCTATATATATGTCTGGAATATACTATGGTCACTAAAGTTGTAACAAAAAGTTGGATTACGGTCAGAATGCGCATAAGTTAAGACTTATAAAAGACATCGACGCGTGCTTTTGTAACTTTTTTTATAGTAAAATGTAGCAAACGAGCTAGCGGCTAGTTGCATTCGTGAAAATAACGAAGTGAGTCAGACATCTGCATTTGCAGATGCGTTGCCTACCTTAAATCAACAGAGAAGGGGGGACAGAAGAAACAAGATATTCCAACTTCCTATGCATCTCCTCAACCAAATCCACCTTTTCCTTATGGGAAAAGGATGGGAAGTGGAAGACGAAAATTTGGCCTCCGGCATATTTTATTATGTTTATTTACAGTTTGCTCGAATCAAAATTATCAACTCATCTGCATGTTAGAAGGTAGTGGTAAGTGTATTTAAAAATCAAGGTTTATTATGCTCAGTACTGATACTAGATTAACGTAGATATCTGCAAAACTTTACTTATTTAAAACGAATGGAATGCGAAGGCCCAGTACGGTATGAATCACCTATACCTGTTTGAGATATCAAATACCTTTACCTACTACTAGACGCCGGCTGCGCGGCAAACTTTCATAAGTTAATTTAGTAATTGTTATAATTGCAAGTGTTGTAAGTTTCTTAATAATTAATAATATTTAACGAGAGTAAAAATGTATTGAAATAAAACAGCAGTATAACATTTGAGAAGGCTGGCTTGTAGCCAAGTCTTTTTAACAATTTTTTTCATGTAAAAATTTACACATAACAGTAACACGGTTGAAAGCAGTACGAGAGGTTTATATGTTCTCGAAAACGAGTTCAACTTTGTTACCCGTTTGCTCGTACGTTCAAAACGAAAGTGAAAATCATATACACTTGGAAACTTATTTCTGCCCCGCATTTCCACTCACAGTGAAAGGCGGGCATTGACGAACCTTTTATACTAATAAATTTCTTGGTATCCTAACATTTAGATACATTTTAGGGTTCTGTACCTCGAAAGGGAAAAAAGGAAGCCTTATAGAATCATTTTGTTGCCCGTCCGTCTGTCTGTCAAGTCCTTTTTTGTATTTGAGCACATAATAAGAGAGCGGACTGTAGCGCATCGCCTAACATATTTGCGGATAATCATAGTTATTTTTGTCAGTCCTTCGCCGAATGAGCTCATTATGACTTGGCGCGTAGCTCGGTTTGTTTTTTTCTTTCTTAAGTTTTTAGAATTCATGAGATGACTGTTTAATAATAACTAACTATGAATAGACACCACAGTTATAAAGGAAAATTATTTGGTAATTAATTCCCATCTCTCAATCAAAACATTGTTTGCATTAAATAAGCTCCGAAACTGCTAAACCGATTTTAATATTCTTTGACCTTTGGAAACAACGCTCTCTTCGGGTGATGTAGGCTGAATATTATCAGATTTCTTTTTAATTCTGCGCGGAGGAAGTGGCGTTCAACTGTTCGTGTTATATACGAAATAAGATTGATTAGTTTCTCGATCTCTGTCAGTCTTCATTTCTGTGGTTTTACTTTCGAAGCACTCGTACAATAGGATATTGCCATTCTGCACTCCTGCATATTTGTTAAAAAAATTATAACAATATGTTTTTAGCAGTTGCACATACAGGTTATACAATAAAACGCATTTCATTATAAGAAACTGGTATAATATGACTGACGATGAATAAAAACAACAAAATAAAAATAATTTAAAAAAAAAGTGTAAAAATAATATAATTAAAGCCATTAGAGAGAAGAAATTATATGATTAAAATTAGAGGTACATTTTCTTCAGACATTTTATGTCGTAAATTAGTTGATCTAAATTTATTGACCTTTATAGTTTATAAGGCACATTGTTTAGCTTTTGGAAAAACAAGTCAAAATGGAGACTAACATAAAACAAATAAAGTTTCAATGAAAAACAAAACGTCAGAGTCAAAACAAATTATAAAACTATTTTTGATTAAATTGACGATTATCAAAAATATTTGTTTAAATGAAAGTGATGATCATTAGCAATATTAATATTTTTTGTTGTTACAATAAAATATTAAAATTGCATTTAAAATGTTATTGTTGAGAAAAAAGTTTTAACAGCATAATTTTTAATATATGTCTTAAAACTGAATAACTAAAGATCAAATTAGAAGAGATTCATTATATGGTTAGTTTAGCAAGGATAAAAACAATTTTTAACAACAAATGTACAACATTTGTTGACATTTTATCGTCCAAATTGCCTATTACTTACTTAACCAATCTTTTGTTACTGTCGTAAATATCATTTCTGTGTTCTGTAAAATTGTTTAAAAAAAAACTATTGTGTTACCCAAGGCTTGGGTATGTACTCTTCAGCTAACTATAAAGATAGTTATTTTATAAAATAGCACCTACAGCAATTATATACTATGTCAAGATAGATAAAATATATTTAAAATCAGGTTATTATTTTGCTTCGTAAATCAATGAAAAAATTAATTTTAATACTACATATTTTGATATTCGTAAAAGCTTGAAATATTACATGGAATTTTAATTTTAAAAGCTTATACAATGTGGATGGTTTTTCATTACTAAAATACATACATAGTGGATGATTAAATGATTGTTAATAATGTTAAGGTACTTTTAAAAATTAAGAGAGCTAAATGGGATTATATAAGAGTAATATACACAAATATTGTCATGAATACAATATTACATCAAAATCAACGAACAACATGTAGTTCTATTGTGGAATTTTTAGTTGTTATCATTGGTAGAAATTTGTTTTCAAATTCTCTGGGTATTTCATGCCATGCACATTTACCAATGATAGGTACTTCTTCCAGAGGAGCCCTGAATACCACAAGTAAAGAGATACAGCAGCCATCAGCGGATGGATCGGCCTCCAGGTTGAGCAGGCCCAAAGGTCGGTGTTGTCCTACATCAGCACCAAACATTTCAACCATGAACCTCCTCAATGTAGAATGTACACTCTTGGCTGGGTTAATTTCACAAGTTGGGAAATGTATTGAAGTTTTTTCACTTAACAATACATGCATTCTATTTGTACTTCTTTTTTTTATTACAATAATCAGTCTCATTAGATTTTTGGAGTGTGGTGTTAAAGCTGGCAGAATGTTTTGATGCCATGTTTGTCCAGGTTTACTTTGTTTTTGCAATTTAGCTTTATCAATAAGATGCAGTATGTCATTGGACCTTAAAGATATCTCTTGAAGATTGGATATCCACTTGGCTTGCAAAGATTCTTTATCTGCTTTTGCAGGAGTTTTAAGTTCACCACCAACAACATCAGCGGTTAACACAAATCTGAACCAAGAGCCGCCGGCAGTCTCTACAGTCAACAAAGTCTTAGGTTCACATTCTAAGCCTGTTTCCTCCAAAACTTCTCTACATGCTGCCTGGACAATTGTTTCACCCTTTTCCATACGACCAGCGGGAAGATACCATTTTCCAGCGCAACTTTCCTTAGCTTCTTGCATCATAAGTAAGTCATTGTGTTCGTTAAGAATTACACATGCGACAACGTAAGTTACGTTTTTGCCTAACACGGGTTTAAAATTTGATGGAGTAGTTGGAGTAATACCTTGAGCTTCTGCAACTGAGTTTTGATCTGCTATTGTAAAATCACAAAAGTCATTTTCTTCACCCTCGAGGCCTAAACCATCTAACAAAAGTGCAATGTTGGAATCGACCTGTCGCGACATAGTTACCTAGATTCCGTAATTTTGATAACTCCTAAAATAAAATCTTCAATAAATATATTCACAGTGTCTTGTTTTTCTTACACAACATATTTTATAATGTTCAATGAATTTAAATTAGATTTTCGAACAGTGTTTGAATTTCGGTAAATAAACAACCATGACGCGACTGAGACGTTTCAAGAAACGTTGGCGAGTGACAATTGCCATTTGACATTTCATTTGACAGTGACAATTGGGAAATTGACCAGTTGACACACTTTTAAAGATTCTGCTTATATCTTTTAAATATTTTACTGACGAATCGTTTAAATTCTGCAAAAAATAAAAACTGAAAATAAATAGTTATTCACTATAGCTGTAGTTAGCGTAGTTCAGTTTCCTAAAATATTTTAAACTTTTATCATATCAACTGTTTGAATGTAATAAAAAATTGAAACGTTTTTGACATTGACAAACAACTGTCACATATATTTATACACTTGACTCAAGCTCATGATTATTCGCTTTTCAGTTTACAGAATATTTACTAATAAAATTCTGACTTAAACTTTTATAGTTGTTTAATATATGTCATGATTTTTTAGTTCATTTTAATTCTAAACATGGTAATAAAAAATGAAGAACTACAAGAACAAACGAAAAGGTTACGGTTCAAAACAAATGTTCATAGTTCTGGAGATATAGATTCAAAGTTTGCAAAAGAAACAAAACAAAAAGGTGTGCATTTTATTTACGACACGATTGCCTCATTCAAGTATAATAATCGACTTAATACATACAATATTGTAATTTTTCCAGAAGTGTCTGAGAAATCATCATCATTATTTGCATTTTTGCACGTTGAATTGACTCGAGGATATCTTTTGGAGCACGATGAGGAAAGGTTTTCAGCAAGAAGAGAGAAAGTTTACTCATTTATCAAAATTCCACAGGAGTTGGAGAAGTTCATGGCATACGGTTTTTTCCAATGCGCCGATTCGCTGCTGTTTGTTTATACATTTTTACCACTACGGTTTATAATGGCATTTTGGTCTTTTTTTCAAAGATTATTTAGAAGATGTTTTCGGTGAGTATAATAATGTTAATATTCATAAACAAGGACTCATGTATACACTTAAACCAAAGGAGAGTGTAACAAAATTATATTCATCATTTAATATTTTACATGTTTGTCAATGCTACTATTTATGACATTATTTAGATTCTGATTTGAAACAAGATATCTTGGTAAAGAAATAGAAAATTGCCCTAAATATAACTAACATACAACTGTAAAATTGTAATAATTGACATTAATTTTTAGGTTTAATTCACATCAACACGAAAGTATATTAAAACCGGCAGAAACTTGTGATGTGCTTAAAGGTTTTATATTATTAATATGTAGCATATTAATGTGTTATATTGACACAAACATGATGTACCACTTAGTTAAAAGCCAGAGTGTTATGAAGTTATATATATTTTACAACATGTTGGAAGTTGGGGATCGTTTATTCTCAGCATTTGGTCAGGACATTATTGATGCTTTGTTCTGGACGGCCACTGAACCTCGGGACCGGAGAAGAGAACACCTTGGTGTTATTCCACATTTTATATTTGCAATGACTTATGTGTGTATCCTTTTATTTTTTAAACATGAATGAAAAATGATAATATTAAATTAATCAAAAACATACATATTTTTTATGCTTTATATTATTATTATTATAAATTCTTTTCATATTTTTCTTAACAATATTCAACAGTCCTCCACAGTCTACTAGTGTTGTTCCAAGCTACCACATTAAATGTTGCTTTCAACTCTAATAACAAAAGCCTCCTTATGATAATGATGTCAAATAATGTAAGTAAATGAATATTATCACTTCAGACGTAACTTGTAACCAACCCTCGGGTGTTGTTGGGATTTTTTTTAAGTCTTGTCATATCTGACATCTATAAGAACCATAATGGCAAATCTACACTAGATGAAACTGGTATAAAGCTTGTCACCTGATTTCAATAAAATAGCTAAATGATAGACACTGCCCACAGACAATTTGGAGAAGTAAAAAGTTTCAAATGTAATAGAATTTTATGTGTTATGTTTTTGTGTTTGATTTGTGTTGTATTTAATATATTACAGTTTGTAGAGTTAAAAGGGAGTGTTTTCAAGAAATTCGACAAGAACAACTTATTTCAAGTGTCATGCAGTGATGTGAGAGAGAGGCTGCATCTCTCTGTCCTGCTCTTTATAGTTGTGCTGCAAACTATGAAAGAGTATTTATGGAGAGAAGATCGTTTTTGGATACTCGCTCCTGATTGTGTTCTTGTGTTGACATTTGAAGTTATAATTGACTGGGTTAAACATGCATTTATCACTAGGTATATATTTTTTTATTTCTACTTGTTTATGGTTTAATCATGTTTTTGTATCTGTGTGCATTGACTGTGGATTTTTTTTATTGATTTTATTGTGTAATTTATGATAAATAAATGAGAACAAATTACTAGGGTATAAGAAGATAGTGTTACACAGTTTTTAATTCTTTTTAATTTATCTTTGTTACTTTTATTTAATTTTTCCAGGTTTAATGAAATACCGTATGGTGTATACAGAGAATACACAGTGAGTTTGGCCTACGACGTTGCACAGACAAGGCAGAAGTATGCATTTAGTGATCATTCAGATCTGGTGGCTCGGAGAATGGGTTTTATTCCTCTACCACTTGGAGTTGTGATTACAAGAGTTCTAGTCCATGCTGTCAAAATTGATGGGTTCGTATTTGTTTAACTTTAAAATTCCACAGACATGACACTTATGGACACATATCGTCTGTTTTTTTTAAATGAGAGTGTTGTCAAAACAAGTTTCACAACATAGAAACCTATGGTCATATGTTTATTTTTATAATTTGATGATAAATAATGGATCAAAAAATACCTTTGCCTTCACTGACTTTTTAGTGGCACTGAACTTTTTCAATGCAAAGTTTTTATGTAGGAAAAAATAAAAGTCATGACAATTTTACATATTGCTATCCCTTTCATTCTCTTAGGAAAAACAAAGACAACTATATGTTTTTGTTTATCTTTTCAGATTTGCAGCAATGTTCCTTATAATTTTGGCTTACTTATGCTTGATAACGGTGAGGGTTTTGATTTCAATAGTGATACTGGGCAAGGCCTGTGCTCTTATATCACAACATCAAATGGACAAAAATGACAGCTTTCACACAACACCCAAAAGGTAACCTTCAATTTTGACAGATGTCATGTCATAACATGTCACTAATAGACAGGATGGTATGCACAGGAAAGGATTTTTTTCTTTTCTTTCCCTACCCTGCTGCATCTACTTGTCCTTCTATATTTTTAATAGAAAATATTGTAAAGGAAGGCTCGAAAACGCATCTGAAATAAAGAACGAAAGATTGCAAATTAGTTGTCAAGTTTGTGATTTGTTTTAGAATCAATATTTATAATATTGCGAAAGTAACTAATTATAAGTTTTTTTAGGGATTAAATTGAAGTTATTATGTTTTTCAGAGAACCGAAAGAAGTTACGAAAGAAATATCATTTAGTAAGCCCGCAGAGTGTGAAGTGCCCCTCGCAAGGAAACCAGTGCAACTGAAATTCCAGATTCCAGAGGATGTGGTTATTGTTAGTATTTATATTTTATAATTATAGATTAAGTTAAAAAAAAAATAATGCCATACAATGTTTTTTTTAAATATGTTTCTTCCGAGTAGTGGAGATTGATGTGGACATTTTTTATAAATGTTTTAGAGCGAGCCCCTAGTGGATGCGTCTGCAGGCGCGGCAGCCATATTCTCAAACAGTGCCATTGATTTAAACGGCGTGTGTTATTTAAACGACAAAATGAACCCCCAAGTGAAACAGGAATCGGGAGACTTCCTCGATACAGAACTGGTAATGTTATACATATTTCATTTAAGAATAAATCGAGTGGACAGAGTCCCGTGCGATGATAACATACATACACTACCGATTGCCTGCGAGTCTGTTCGCGCGGAATTAATAATTAACATATACCTACATATATAATCTACATATACCTTGAAACAAACATCTATCCATCCATCCAAATATTCGCATTTATAATATTAGTAAGATTATAATTGATTTTGTTAATATGCAGGCGGACGTAAGCCGCAGTGCGCCTGACATAAAGGCAGCCTCGGGTGAACCCACTGCGCCGGAGCGGCCGCTCTCTCCCGACGCAGACGGCCTCAAGCGCCGCGCCGAGTCCGAGCCCAACCTCGCCACGCCCGATGACGACGCCCACGCCCCACACTCCCCACACTCCCCACACGCCCCACATGCTCCACACGCCTCTCACTGACACCTAAAGTTGCCATATCCCACACGCCCCACGTACCCCACTAGCCCAACAGATTCCACACACCTAACACTGACACTCAATCTCACCAGGTCCCATACATACCACATTCCCAACACGTACCACACACCCCACACGCCCCACGCCCCACACACACCCCACACGCCCCACGCCCCACACGCATCACACACACCCCACACGTTCGCACGCTTCACAAGCACCACACGGTCCACTCAATATGTTTCTGATTAACACATCAAACCGCGCCACGCCCGACAACGCCCCGTACACACCATATACCCTGCACGCCCCGCACACCCCACACCCCACACTCACACCCCACACTCCACGATTCTGATTAATATTTTGACGTTTCCCTTTTTATTGATACAAACTTTATTAAAGTGTATGAACACTTTGACTAAGTCAAATTTTATGACATCCCAGTCTTCAATATATACAAACGAGTCAATCGGGCGACAATTATAAAATACTCGTACAAATTGTTTGCTAAAAAGTTGACGAATGTTTATTGGAATATTGTGTCTAGAATAGTGAAAATACATTCCAAGTTACATACAGAAAACTCTATATCCGTTGCTTTCAGCCGCCGAAATAGTGTACAAAAACATGATAAGTTTTCGAGTTGGCACGTCTGGCTCAAGCGTAAACTAGTACGAGACGTGCCAACTTAATGGTTGAGTACTAATTTATTTATATTGCTATCATTTTAGATAATATTAATTGGAGTGTCTTGTTTTTGTCTCTGAAAGGATTTTCATTTCTAGTCGTGTTGACAATCCTACTTTCTATAATCCTACTCTAATATTATAAATATGAAAATTTGGATGCATGGATGAATGTTGCGAAGGTATTTCCATAACGCGTTAACAGATTTCGTTGAAATTTAACATAGATGTTGAACGTAATTTTGTTTTTTTTTTAATTTCGCGCGGACAGAACCGCGGGCAACGGCTACTTCTAGTAGTATTGAATACATCTTAATTGTGTTTTTCGAGTGTCATGGTGACAACATTGTCTCTGTTTTTCCAAAGACAATGTGAGTTGTCTTTGTGTAAAAGTGTCTCGACAGTCGAAACTCACAAACGCGATCTGTTTGAAGATTTTATAATAAATGGGTCTATAAATTTTATATCGATTTGTGTTATATTTTTATATTATTATTTGTGTGTGTGTTTTTTAATTGTTGAAAAAGTTACATAAACTTTATATCTGTTTAACCGTTTTTTTCTGACATCAAAATCTATGTATAAAATATATCGTCATCTCTGTCATTACCATAAAAAAAAACAGAGATAGCAATACATTTTAAACGGAGATTTTGTTCTTAGAAACTCACGGTAAGTATAGCAGTTTGGTGGCATAAGCATGGACATATATAATGTTACATAATAAATATATAGATATATAATAGTTCATGGTTAAATCCTCTTTTACTTAATCGACGTAAATATAATAAAAAAAAAAAATAGTTGGTATAGTATTTCATAATATGGGCTTTTAGCATGCAGTTAATATCTTCTAGCTTATTTGTAAAGACTGGTAATTGTCGGGTTTGAAATTAAATATCATTAGACTGATTATAGCCCGGTTCACATTATTCCAGTCCAGTGATCGAAATCAGCGCTGGACTGGAATAATGTAAACCGGCCATTATTCGAACTGCTAACTGAATAAAGGATAAATGTTAATGAAACTTTTAGAAAACAACATGTTTAATTATTTTTAACGCACATGTTATATTTTAAGACAATATTTAAAGTTTTTTGGGCTTTGATTTATGAAGACAGTGGTACTAAGGTCATTGGTTATGTACATTAAAATATAATATATTGGTTTTGTATTAGCGTATAAAATTGTATAATTTAAGTAAACGAAATTGTTTCTGCTGGAAAACGAGTTAAAATATTATTTATTATAAAAGACAATAGATTTAACTTATTTCTTATTTATATTTACAGTAATTCTAAATTGATTTTTTATGTTCCTAAATTTTTTTTATGTTTGAAGTAAAAAAAAATATTTACGTAATAAAGACAAAAATTACTTTGTGTTTTATTTGTATATGATTTTAATTAATAAAGTATGAATCACACTACTTTATCAAGAGTCATGTAGTCAATCAACAAAGTACAACGTAAATCAAGCAACATTTATTTTAATAATTGTTATTGTGAAGAATATTATTTGTGTATTTTATAACCTAAAAATTATTTGATAGTGCCATCTATGAACAAAATGCCTCCAACATAGCTTTGTTTTTTGTTACATCAATACTTACTAATTTGGTTACAAAAATGAAATATAGATGTCGCTACTATACATGTAGTACGATATTTTTTGCTCGCATAAGAACTTGTTTGCATTACATTTACATAGCTTAGCACTTTGATTTTCTTATTGATTATGCAAGATTAGAAAAACAAAGCCGTCGTATGTCGTGTTGACCTTTTATTTAAATATCGAGCTTTATTGTGATATGAGCTTAACATTACACTATTGAAAACAAAAACAATAGTGCTATCCCTTTCCTGTTGGATAGAAAACGACGAGATAACAATATTTCAGTAAAAGTCCAAACACGGTTATGCTATTGTAGGAAAGTTCTTCAATTATCGTACTTGAACTTAATTCGTTAATATTCAAAGATTTACAAGCCATATTCTGTTAATTGATTTCTCGACGTTCTTTCGAGCGGAATGTTAAGTTCGAATCCTGTGGCACTTTTGTAGAAGACTTGCGTGAAGAGTTAACAGACTTGTTGTATTGTATGAAAAGTGAATTAAAGCAAACAATATGCTGATAAGCACTCACTCTGGACAATTAGTTGTAACCATACAGAAATATACCGAACTTAATCACTTTATATGATAAAAAAACTACACGACGTTTTGTCGATTTGTGATAACTTTTGCAAGTCATACCATGAATTTAAAGATATATAAACTGACTGTTGCGAATTACAGGATGATTCTTCGCTTTTTGCATTTGGTGCTTCTGATAAAATATGATTATTTTCACAAGAAGCTTGTCACTTATCATTCAAAAGATTTGATAAAATTTCTGAAGAACACAGGGATAGGACGGGAAGTATAGGTAAGAATATATCAAAGTAAATGTAAACAATATGATTTCAGTTTTCAACAATTTGTATTTTCGCACCTTAGGTGATTTCATATTAAATAAAAATTTCTTTTTCTCTTATATACACATTAAATTCAAATTTAGTCCGAGTGTATTTACAAATATATTAAATAGAATTTAGTAAAAATTAGTGAGATTTAACAATATACTTAAAGCCTATTAAAAACTAATTACAATATGTTTAAAACATCAACAACACCGTTCAGTAGAGCGCAGCACGGACGACTGCGCATGCGCACTCGCTTAAATAACTCTCATACAGAAATTCGTACTTACTCACTATCAGGTGAACACCTTGAAATATTTTTGTTTCAATTTGAAAATCGACTAAGAGCTAGAACATCAACGTGAAAGTAAAAAGTAGTAACAATGCGTAGCACCGCCACAGAGCGAACACAAACAAGGTTCGGCGCTGTAGCGACCCGAACTTCGCACAGTCGCCGTACCGTATACAACAACGTCAACGAGATGCTTACGTAAACAATTCAAGAATTTAGTCTTCTCAGTTTCCATCGTCACTCGTTTGTCTATCATGCATTAATTATATATATATCTATCTACGCTAGCATTGTCTAACAGAGACTTTGTCTCCTTTAAAATAGTAAAAACATTGTAAACGCGTACATTACATGTCGTATCCATATCATATATTTGTTGTACGCAAATGTTTATCTTTTGGCGCTTATTCTAATTGACGAGCTCTGGCATCGTGGAGGGCGTGAAATATATCTATAAAATGTATAATAGTTTAACAGCTTCTCTAGTTATATATGAAATAGTCGTTAGAAATAATTTAGGTAGAGATATGCAATCTGTAAACAATAACAAGGCGATCTTAGTGGACATATGTAGGATGTTTTTCCAATGCTGTGTAACATAAAGTGGTTTGAATTTAAAACGGAACTACCTCATGGACTTGTAAACGCTGTAAACAGTCGTAAAAGCGAACCGAAACCAAAGCGAAGCGTAACATCTAAAGTCAACAGATATAAGCGGAATGTAGAATCACCTAGGCATAAGGTTTCGCGAAATTAGCTTTCCTGACAAATAATGTGGCGATACGAACCAAATCCGTGTCATTTTGATATCAAACTCGCTTTGGTCTCAGTGTTCTTTTACGTTTGTAATTTATCGATTTGATAGTTGATTTCAGCAAAAAAAATTGCAGTTTCATTGTAAAAACCGGCGGAGCGAGGGTCAGTAATATTATTGTCAGATGTCCTAAATTTATAAAGACCATCGCCATTCAAAGTACCACCCTGTCTGTTTTTATATCATTGTTAAAAAAAGTACTTAACACTTTTTTCTGGTGGAACGTTTGTTCTTAAATTACACATGATAAATAGTTTGAACGATTAACAGAACAATGCAACGCATAATTAAATATATAATAAATATAAATTTTAAACAGACATTGCACCAAACCTACCTTATAGGTATAAGGCAGGGCGATTATAATATTAACAATACGAGTCACGTTTTCATGTATTAAGTTAGGCTATTTGTGCTTAATTTTGTACTGATAAACAATCGTAGACAGATTTTGATCGTGAAAATGCTAGAGTAACAATTCGATGTAATTGTACAAACCGAGCGAAAGCAACGGTGACTTGACAACGAGTTGTAACTTAATCACAGTAACTTTAAACTAAATACAAAATTAATCTTATAAGTAACTACATGTACTTATGAGTATTATAAATAAAAAGCCCATCACTCCGAGGGCTATACTCGCAAATTATTAATAAAGATTAAGAGATCATAATTTTATACCTACACGTTAATTAATTTAGCTAGATTAGTCTACACGCACGAGGATACAAGCACAAAATACCACTGGCAGGAAGTAAGAGAAGTAATGTGTTAGAACAAATAAAAGAGAGAGCAAGGCATTATACTAAACAGGCGTTAGTGCAATAATGTTCGTGTCAGAGAGATTTGAGCAAATTTTGTTAAACAAATCAATTGAGCAAGAGTAAAGATTGACAGTGGCTGTCGAAAATTAATATAAAATGTAAAAATAAAACAATAAAATAAAGTATATGAAGAAAAAACAATAGTCGACATTCACTCGTTCACATTTTCGACTAGAAATATTATAAAACAAAATACGTAGCGTTATATTAACATCAGGTTTTACACCTATCACTTAAATAGCAGTCGTGTTACATTTAGTATCATTCAAACTGCCGTGGCACGCAGTATTAAGTTAAACGAATGGCACAATTTCACGTTAGTTTAGTCAAGTATATAAGATTAATAAATATATAATACAATACTTAAATAATTAACAAAGTCAAACAAAGTTTACCGACCGAGAGTCGCCTCGCGGTTGAAGTACACGCCCGGCCGGTGTGCCTCGTCTCACCCTTCACATTTCCCCTACTCATATGTAGGCACAGTTCATTTCACTTCTCTAAGAGTAATTAATAATAATGCACTCACATCGAATTTAAACAATTTAGTTTATAAAAGAAGTTTTTTTCCTTCGTCAGGTGCGCGCCGCGCAATCTAGATATGTGCGGACGTCGCGCAGAGGATCCTCGGCGGCGATTCTACAATACCTCGGATGCGTTTCATACATAGTTTTAGGCCGCACCGCTAGCAGTCTACACTTGTTCCCGATCCAGATCGATTAAATCTGATGATAGTTCAACGAATACTTCGGGTCGATCATATCCAACATATTAATTACAAATGTGTATAAAAAGATATATTACCTACATATAAATTTCAGTGAATTTACAAATGTAGACTTAATAAAGCTTCATTTAAGACAGTGCTTACACCTAGGCGATGAAATTATTTGATAACTTCAACGTGTGCCGTGGCCGCTGAGAGAAGGCGCGGCGCGAGTGGAATGTGTCGGCGGGGCGCGAGCGCAGGGTGGCGCGTGCGCTAGAGCGGCTCGTGCGGGGGCGCGGAGCCGCGCTCGCGCTTCAGCCGCTGCTTGAGGTGCACTTTAGCGTGCCGCTTCTTTTCGTCGGAGCGCGCGAACTTGCGGCCACAAACATCGCACGCGAACGGCTTTTCGCCAGTGTGTGTGCGCACGTGTGTCGTGAGGTGATCGGAGCGGCTGAAGGAGCGCATACATATGCGACATTGGAACGGCTTCTGGCCCGTGTGGATACGAATGTGCCGTGTGAGCTCATCTGAGCGCGAGAAGCGGCGGTCGCAGCCGTCCACTGGACAGGCGTACGGCCGCTCGTGCACGGGCGTCTTGCTCGGCCGATTGGGGTACTTGCGCGGCTTAACGGCCACGAGTCGCAGAGGCTGCGCACTCTGCTGGTACACCTGCGAGAGGATCTCGTGGCCCTTGCTCGTGGAGGGGTTGTACTCTGCGAGCTGCACGGGTCGGTCGCCAACAGGGCTGGGGTAGGGCTCGCGCTTGGGCAGGCCGGAGGGACCGGGCGCAGGCTGCGGCGGCGCGGAGTACTCCTGCGCTTCCCAGTGCTGCTGCGCCGGGTGTGGCTGGTGCGACGGGTGCGGCTGGTGCGGTTGATGCTGTGTGTGATGCGGGGGCGGCGGGCGGTACTCGCAGTGCTGGGGCGCGCAGGGTTGCTGCGGTGCGCAGTACGCGGGTTGGCACTCGGGAGGCAACAAGTCGACGCGCTCCTCGTACTCATGCTGGAAATACTTGTCGAGGCCGGGGCCAGGGCCGGGCGGCAGCAGCCACTGTAGCGGCGGCGAGGGCGCACGTTTGGCGGTCGGCGGCCCGTACAGTGACGCACTGGCGCTAGCGCTGGATGCGTTGCTGGCGTCCTCGGCCCGCGCACCTGGCGATAGCGACGCCTCGTGCTTGTGGCGCCGCGGGGAACACCCCAACGACAGCTCGTCGCCCGCTAGAGATCCTGCAACAAACGAATATCCCACATTAGTACGTGCCAATGTGCGTACAATAATAGTTTCTCTTTCAAAGTTACGGCCTGTAAAATTATTGATCCTTATTACACGATTACATTATACTGCACTTGTGTCAAAAACGTCTCTAACGATTTGAATGCAATTTTCGCGTCGTACTGTGACCACCTGTGCGAGCCTGAGATTTTGATGATAAAGATGTCGACGCAGAGCTCGGTGCACAGCAACTTGTGCACTCAATATTGATGCAGATTTTTAACTTGTTCATCAATCTTAATTAGAAAGGGGCAAATGAAGACGTAAGATTGGTTCGTTGTGGTGACATGCCCTCGCCATACATTGTCTCTCATTAGTCATTGTTCGTCTTACGGCCGGCGTGAGCTAATTAGGCTCGATGCTCGCGTCGCAGTACCAGATACTATCTCCACCAAAACTAATACAGCGTAGTACGTGATGTACACGATCGGTCTTATGCCCTGAATATAAGACATTAGCTGTCGCCTAACCTGTTGTCAAACCTGTTGTAACATTTTAATTTGTACGTAGCATGTCATAATCTGGCTGAGAGTTTAATTATCGCCTGACTCTATGCGGAAAACGTAGTAACAAGTTAAAAAAAAATTATAATTTACTACGCTGTCGTGGCCCATGGCATTGTCCTATAAGATTAGTGTAACAGTGACGTCCTGATAACAATCGAAGGTTTATTTAGATTAAAAAATAACTTATTAAGAGTTTTCTTGCAACCATTCCAACTTTTGCATTTGAAAAGCTTAGTATTCTTAATTTTATTTTAATTTGTATCACCTTAGTAGCTAGTATCATGATTTTGTACTCATTTATATAAGAGTTTGGGCAAACGAACTTTAGATGGCTTATAATTTTTTAACCTACGTATTTTTAAGTTTAAAGTATACCTATGATTTATGTTTTGTTTAATAGTGTTGTTAGTAGTTGTAGAAGTTTTAGCGTACATTCGTTCGCGTGGCGCGGGAAACGTTGATAAGTGCGTCCGGAAGCTGATAGCCAGTATCACTGCGAGGTGCCGTGGCTAGCATACGCTCTGAACATCACCGATATATTGCTCGTTATAAATAAAACGATGGGCTTAACAGTAGTTTTCGATCGCCGTCACATTTGTATTGATAAATATTGACATCTCTTTCATTTTGTTTAAAAAAAATTTTTTAAACAAAGACAACAATATGTGTTAATATAATATAAGTGTCATTGCACTGGATTTGCGGTATAGCGCTACAAGTCCAGCTGTTTTATTCTGTCACAAAATATGTAAAACTTACATAGGCACATAAGATAACATGAAAGTAATGACAAGATAGCTCCAGTACGATACGAACCTTAATTCACTTATCTCAAACAAACTATCACCCGGAATTCCCTTCGCGGGGAATTAAAAAAAAAGTTAATTTGTAGCCTATGTGTTTTTCAGACTATGTTCTACATCTATGTCAAATTTTATCGAGATCCATCGAGCTGTTCTAGAGATAACTTTAAACTAACATCAATCTATCCATTTAAATATTCGTATTTATTAGTAAGTTTAACAGGGGTGTGCTAGTGAGTTATCATATCTATGTATATCAACTTATGCCGTCCACCCTCACTAACTATTAAACTTTATTACTAGGCTATCGAGGTTTATTTTAATCATGTTTATAATGGTTCACGATGTTTAGTACATATAGATATAGTAGGCTACCTATAATGACTTAGCATTTTATTTTGTAATATGTAACCAAGTGTAACTTACTTATCACTCTACTATTATCAAATTGCATGAATTTATATCCTTTTATACAAAAGCTATTGAAATGTCAGTATCTATTATTTTTAGGGTAAATGAAGTATGCGATGTGTTTACTCTCTTGAAAATGAGATCAATGACCTTAGTGCAAAAAGGGAAGAGACTTTGTTTAGGGAAAAATAATAAATATTTTTGTCATGTTTATATTAACTGTAATTAAATTATAAAGACAAGTGTTTACTACGTTGTTTATTTATTTACAATACTATCTCCTAATTTCATCCAACTATTATCTTGTTTTTTTCGTTCTTAATTTAAATTTTCTTGTGCTTTTGTAATTGACATGTTTTTTTGTATATGATTTGATGGTTAGTTGGTAACGTCAAAGAATAATTCAAGTAATAAAAAGTAATAACTAATAAAACTAACGCTAGAGAGACTTTGAATGAAATGATGATGTTTATTTTGTCATCGCCTTAACCCTTTAAAGCCTTAATATTTATAACTATATTTTTTTTATAAACAAAGCATTTTTTCATTTAAGTCTTATATGGCTTAATATTCCTGGTATATCTTTTTTTCTATATAACAGCTGTTTTAATTAGCTATCCATATTATATTTAAAAATATACTATCCAAATTATAAAAAAGAAAGTGTATAAAATTGTATAAATAAAAATGTGTCTAACGAAATTTGTGCATGCCTGTTATTGGCATACATATGTAAAATGTTTGTGTGATTTTTGTTTTTCTGCTATTTTTATATGTATGCTGTTGACCTGTCTTAATAAATAAATAAAATATTTTATCACTCGATATTTTCTTTTACAAATTAATTGAAATTAAATAGCGTATATAGCCGCCGCGTATAAAGTTTAACGTTCGTATGTTTTCATTGTACTGTTGCATTATCCTACTGCATGAAGGTCACGGTCAGTAAAAACATGATTGCCTATTTAATTTGAATGATCTTATCAACTTATATGTAAATAGACAATCAATTTTTTCAAAAATATGTATTTTTTTAGGAAAGAAAGAAGGCTTTGAATTAAATTACTACACAATATTGTTAGTTCCGGCGGTTTAGCCAGCCAACGTCAACTTTCTTTAGTATGTTTATATTTATATTTTGTCTTGTTTGAAAACAAAGATATATTTACCGAATCTTGGATTTCGTTACGTCACTAGTTAACTGAACATGAATGGCAATGGCAATCACTGAAAACACACGGGCGACGACGCGATCCGCGAGATACTGCGCGACGGTACACTGCACGAGACCACTGCACCACGGCTCATCAACATTAGGCGAGCAGCGCACCTGATATGGGTGGTGGCTCCAGCAGGCTGGGGAAGAAGGCCGGCAGATCGGAGGTAGAGACGGGCGTGTTGAGATCTGCGGGCGCGCCGCCGGCGCCGGCGGGTAGCGCAGGCGCTGGCTTGAGCGCGCAGTCGAAGCCGAGCGCGCCCATGTCCGCCAGCGACAGCAGGTGCGGCCCGGCCGGTGGCTCCGCATCCGTGCCCATGCCGTCCGGCACCACCTGCTCCTCGGCCCACGGGCCCAGCGGGATTACGAACAGCGCCAGTGTGGAAACGGCCGAGCGTGCGGCCGGCGCGACGGGGACTGGCGCCGCGCGTGCCGCGCGCCCGTTTTATCAATGAAGCCGCGGTCCCATATTCGGTATCGGCGCGCGCAGACCGGCCAATCGCACGGCGGCGGCCCCCCGCGTGACGTCACCACCCGGCCCGCCCACCGCCCCCGCCGCCCTGCGCCACCCGCCACCCTCGCCCCCCGCGGGCCCGTTCACCGCCGCACGCCCGTCTCGCCGCGAGCCTCCGCGCCAAGCGCTCGGGCGCGTTTCGTTTCTCACTGCTCTGTGACGGCCAGGTGTTTCTGTTTGTTTTGAACGCCTTTACAGTTTCAATACTCTACTGAAGTTATTGTTTGATGTAGCTAAGCTGCTACGGCGTTGTCACAGTGCCGCTTTTTATTTTTTATTTTGTGTGCGTGTTTTTTTACCGTAGTACTTAACTCGAAAGTTGATGTAAATTTTATTTGTCATAAAATTATAAAAATATATATTTTTTTTAATTTACACCTCCAAAAACCCAAAGGACAAAGGATTCGTTAATATTTTATACAAATGAGTTATAGACAAAAATGATTTTAGTTTGTATCGAATCACAGTTCCATCAGTAGTATGGAACTACTACTGATGGAACTGTGATTTCCATCACTAACCCTTTTAAAATTACCCTATTAAAAATAATGGATTTTTTTGGTGTGTCAAACCACACCGAACATGGTGTGCTTATTTTATATTATTCAAAAAAAATAATTTTTTTCTTGTTTGCAACTTTTTACAAGAGGTTAATTAAGTTTAAAGTTAGTCCGCAAAGCGGCGTTTGGTCCGGGAAATCTTCGGAACGGCTGGACCTATGTTGACTGTTCATTTATGGGATGGCAGCTTATGCATGCGGACTTATTAGGCCACAGTTTTTTTAAATTCTTCTCTGACAAAGTAACCTTGACCGCTAATATAAATAATATTTTTTTTTCTTTTTTTTTCTTGAGTTCAAAGTAAATAAACTAATCGAGCAAATGCGAAACTTCTCAATTAGGTAAACGGATTCGCTTCGCTCGTCTTTGATTGTTGAATTATATTGCTTCGGATACTTTAAAACCAACCAAACCTAAGTGTTCAGTGTTTTACACTAATGCGAAGCGGCTCTTAAAAATTAACATCATTACCACCAAAGATGATTGCTAAAATATCGTTTTGATGTTTTCATTTTCATATAATAAATAAACCAATGAGGAAAGATTGATTTTATTTTATAAGATTTAAATTCAATCTCCCTCTGGCGCAACATATCTAAGTGTATTATGAGGTCGGCGTCGCATTGCCTCGCTCAACTTCCTTCGTCCATCTATTCACTCCCTTTATACAATTACAAAATTAAGTTGGTTTTCTTTCATGATTTCTCCACCGATAGCTTACAGGCTGGGTATTGGCATATCCAGCCACTAATAAAGATGTCAAAAAGTCATATTGTCCGAACGATAAGAAATCGACTTCGAAACGCTTGATTGATAGTTTGTAACTCCGTTTCACATTTTGTTATGAGTTTTAATATAACACAAAAGACTATTAGTAGAATCCGTTTATGCGGCACACGTGACGCATACAAAAATAGTTTGGCAGATAACGAACTATTAAAATAAAGTGCGTCATAACAAAAGTGGGAGCGAAGTGCGAAGGAAGGACGAGAGCAGGCGCCAGGACATGCGCCGCGCGAGACACTACGGCGCCACGGGCCCACATGCAGTCGGCAGCGGCTAACCCAATTATCGCATAACGGACACGATAAAGAAAAATAACAAACCCACGATTTCACCGACATCTAATTATAGCGCGCTATTTGCGTGTGCGCGGGCGCGGGCGGTGGCGGGTGCGCGGGCGCATAGCTCGGCCGCGGCGTCAGGACTATTCCCGGCCGTCAGCTGACGAGCGCGTAAACACCACGCGGCCGATTGACGTGCAACGCGAACAATCGACTCTTCAGCAGGTGAATCACACCACCGAAACGTCCCAGCTGGGATCGCTCTAAAATTAACTTGACTACTTTTGGTTCGGAGTTCGGAGGCGGGGTTCTATTTCTGAACGTTACCTCAATGCGCGTTGTCTATTTGTAACGTGCGGGTGTTTCATCTCGTCTACATTTTTATACGATATCACGAACGTCATTAGCTGTGCTTCTAGAGGAATCATTAATTTTATCGACTTGTACAAGTTATTTTGACGATTTATTTAGTGCGTAAACTTTTGAAATGGATGAGGCTATATATGTTATTTCCGTAGCTTATCGGTTAAAGAACCAATTCTGAGTGGTTTACGAATCCATCCAAAATGTTTAATTTCTACTGTTTACATGTAGCTTACTTTAGTGTCGATTACCTTATAATCAAAAACTAAATTTAGGTACCTGACATTTACAATAGATTAATCGAGGGTATCTCATGCAAGTAGAGTGTCAGAAATGTCATGTCTTAGTAGTTATAGAGTGGCAGAGCTACAACCTACAGGCCCGAAGTGTTTACTATTTGCTACGAGTAGCGTCGCCACCGTACGGTCGGCTTCCCACGGCCGAGAGACACTTATTGGTGGGTAGACGTCTCAGACGGGGACTTTCGCACGCACCGCAACTGAATTGACTATTAATATTATCCACTGACATTTAATAGGTTTCACATCGTAATTTGATCTTGTCAGCAATTGAAATTGTCAAGAATTTACAAGAGATCGTTTCAATGACATCAATGATGGCTATGTTTATAAACAAAACAGATACATTATTAAATATGTGATATAGGTAATTGAATGGCAATATGAATGATATTTATAGATATATTTACATTTAGCAATTACCAACAAATAAGGTCATCTAAACCTATTTTTCAGCCTTGAACAAGGTGTCCTCTTTTGGAGACTGATATTTGATCTAGACAGATTAAACTTTACTAGCGCATAGCGCGAGATTTCTAAAGCACTCTTTTTACCATGCCTTGAAGGGGGCACAGGTTTATGTGAGATTTTGAAATTCGTAGCGCCCTTTATGTCCAGCACCCCGGATGGTCATTCAAACTCGCGGTACTCTAAATCCGGCGATGAATGTGAGATAATATTTAAATTTTGAGGTGTTTCAATAAAAGCCTATAGTTAGTACTATCAATTTGATAGATTATAAACAGTGTAAACGTACGCTAATGCATAGAAAGTGATATCAAAATAACTATCAGGTCGTTTGGCGAGGTGGCGAGGCTAGGGAAGCGCTAATAATAATCACATTGCAAATGCAATCCGAGGTGACGATGCTCTATTGATAAATATAGCTTTGATGAATGTACTTCAATGAATATCATCTCTAGAGTCATTAACGGTGAGATACGCGTGATACATTTCACTGCCGCATGATTTATGACACAGTTAGAACTGCGACCTAGTAATGTTATTAATCTATACAGCCCTAGTTTGTAACTCGATTCGTGTAGATCACTTTTAAATTCTATGTCTATCTTCTGACTGTATTTGTAACTATAAAACTGAAGACAGGCGTCAAGTTGAATCAATTCCGCGTTTTGTCTGATACGTGTGTGCTAGCGGCCTTTTTTGGTCCTTTTTTAAGTTTGAGTAAAAGTTTAAGGTAAAATAAGTTATAAGTTTTTTTCACTCCTATTTACAATTATGCCGATATTGTGAAAGCTGAAAACGATACGTCGAATCCCGATGACCGATAACTCTCTGCTAAAATGGCATGACGTGACGTGATTAGCGCGGCTCATCGGTCAAGCGTGCGACGTGACGCCGGCTGAGGCGCGTCACGTCGCTGTCACGCTTATAATTACACGGACACTCGAAAAGTAATCTCGAAACACATACATCAGCCCATGACGTGGGTCGCGCTCGAAAAAGCTTGCAAATGTTTATCTTGCCACATTTAGAATCTATGTAATCGAAGCGGCGACGTAACCGCTCTTACGTAGTTGACGTACAGAGCATTGCACGAACCGGCGCATGACCAGAGATAAACTGCGCAAACGAAAGGGAAATTCTTCCCTAGTAAATTATTCGTTTCCAAATAAAGTCTTTCTTTTGTATTTAAACGATGAAAAATCCATATTAACGGAAGCATTTTTTCTGAATTGGCTATAACAATATTTCGACGATTTTTGACGACGACTATACCGAATTTAATGTGTTTATCTTTATCATATCTAATTCAGTACCTTACTTGTATGAAGCATTGAAGCCGCAGAAGTACATAATTTAAATATCGCCTAATGCGATATAAGTAGTGTTTTACTAAAGTTCGTGTGTAGGGCGTAGCATTTTTCGACCACATCACCCTAACATCAATGGGCTTGTCACTAAAATTTGTGTGAAAGCATTCCTCTCGACTTCAACCAAAGTTATTTGTCAGTGCATTTTCCGAACGATTGAATCGCTGCACAAATCTCATACATCACGATGATTTCTTGTTTTCGTGCATAGCGCATATTAAGTGGTTAACTGATTCAATTTAAAAAATTACTTATATGTATTAAAGCAAAAATCGCCCTTACTTTACTTAAGGACAGTAATCGAGCGTAATGAATTACCGGCGGGAGTGAAACAGGGTGGTCAGTGGCGTGACGTGACGCGGTTATCATCCCCACAACCCCCTACCCCCACCCGTATTAAGTATTCGTGACGCACGAACGCCGCTCCTCCGAACACATTTCAGCTGACACTTGCTTATTGTCAACAATATATAAATTACACTCCAGTATACCCAAGTCGAAATAATTCAATTTCTATAAAACTATACATACAAACATGCCATCTAATGTTAAGTTACTTGCGATTTTAATTTGCATAGCAACTGTAACATTTACAATAGATTTGTGAAGAAAATGTGAACGTAACAAGCTTTACACAGACAAATATTTTCCTCATCAACAATGCCTAAATAATGCCCGTTTCGTTTAAAACAGTTAATTAAAATTACTAAATAGATCACAAGATCTCACAGGTTATGACAAACAAGCTTTGTAGATCGAAAGCTCATT